ACACACACACACACACACACACACACACACACACACACACACACACATCATTCTACTTTAGACCTTATACCACTTGCCTTGACTATTACAATAGCCATAAATTGAGCTCCCAATCTCTCCAGCCTTCACATGAAGGGGACAGGGAGAGAAAAAAATCTATATAGCACCTACTGTGTATCAGGCACTGTGCTAAGCACTTTTTAGAGTTACCAATTTTTTTTTTTGATCCTCACAGCCATGTGAGGTATATACTATTGTTATCCATCCCCATTTTACAGTTGAAGAAACAGAGAGAGAGGTCAAGTGACTTGCCCAGGGTCATATAGCTAGTATTTGAGGCTAGATTTTGATTTGTCTCTTTTATTTTAGGCCCATCTCTCTATCCACTGAGCTATCTAGTACTTAATTTAAATATAAAAGTGACTGGTATGATTTTATGACTTTCTTCTAAAGCAGCTAGGAGGCCATGGCCCTTCTTCCTCCCCATCCCTACTTTGGTAGCCAGAGCACCCTCTTCCAGTTCAGTTCTCTTCCAGATAATCTAATGGGTAAGTTTCCCATTGAGCCTCTCACTATACCAATTAAACCAGGGCATGATTAGGTTCTATAAACCTACAAAAAGATTATGGGGTAAAGACTGTGACTCTTCAGATATCTGGGAATCATTCCCTTTTATCTTCACTAAGTAAACCAGGGGTCACCAAGTCAGAATGTTGCTTTGGTCTTTTTAAGGTAAACTCAACCATGTCACAGGTATAATATGCTCTTCCTTTTTCAAAAAGAAAAAATGGAAACCATGGTATTTCACAATTTGATTTGAATGTGTGTAGTGGGGCAAGCATGGTTAAGTTCTGAGTTTTTCTTTTGCTAATCTCCTTATGACTAGGAAGGTTTTCTACTCAGTGACATAAATCAAAGATTTTTATTTCTGTTTTTCATCTGGAAAATAAACCTAAAATGCATTAAGGTAAAAGTATAGCACAATTGCTTATGGTGTTCTGAAAAGAGTTATTTCATAACTGAAAGATCACACACTTTGTATTCACAGTAACCTGAGTTACCCAGTCACTGACCAATACATTCGAATTCAAGTTTCAGTATTTGTGAAATTAATATATAAAATATTTAGAAATATTTTATTTGACTTTCTGTTCTTAACTGAATTTTTTCTTCCTTTTTAGGGACCACCAAATCACCAGTGAGTACATAATTTCAGTTATTGCTTCCTTTTTTAAGACTTCCATATATGTGAACAATTTGGTTATATTCTTAAATTTTCATTGATAATTGTCAAGTAGTCTTCAATACCTATCCCTTTTTAATTATGAAGAAATTATACTGACTAGTTAATTTATATCATGTTTCATTCATAAATGCTGACAAAACTTTTTTCCTAGACCAGCTCATAGTAGTTGTGAAATGATTTAAGACAAAGAATTATGAGCTTTTAAACTCTGAATTGTTGCATAACCTTGGAACTTTGAATAAGTAAATATAGCTGTCTCTTTTTGTCTCTGAGAATACTAATGTGAAACAAATTTCTGTGAGTGCATAATGTACACTTCAGTTGTGTACCTAGAATATTTTCTCCTTTTCTTCTTCAGAGTTTCCTTGGTTATCCTGTAAGCATCTTTTTCATTGTCATCAATGAATTCTGTGAAAGATTTTCCTACTATGGAATGAGAGGTAACCATTTGAATTCATACTCTTTCGTTAGCTTCAACAAATGATTGTCTTGGATATTTTAACATCTCCTCTTTGCATTTCCTGCCCCTTCCACGTACAGCAATTCTAGTTCTGTATTTCCAACGTTTCTTTGGATGGGATGATAACCTATCTACTGCCATCTATCACACATTTGTTGCTCTATGCTACCTAACACCAATCCTTGGAGCTCTCATTGCTGACTCATGGCTGGGAAAGTTCACGTGAGTAGTTTCTATTTTTTATTTAAGGAGATAATCTTCTTTATCAGTTCGGATAGCATACTTTTTAGAATCTGGAAATTATGGACTAAGCAAAGTATATGTACTTTTTCTTTAATGTATCTAGAGTTAAGCTTAACATTCTTCAAGTAATGAAACAGCATGCTATGTGTAGGGCACCATCCTGAAGTACAGGTAAGGATGGATACATGGGATATCTTTCCTCATAGGCCTTGTAATTTCACTGGAGTTGGATGGATACACACAAAAATAGAATGTACTAACTTTTATTAAATGAGATTATGCTATAGGTGGTCAAAGAAAGTGGGGAGGACTTGAGCTGGAAATGAAGGAAGTGTAAGAAGGCATTCTTACATGGAAGAATGGCTTGAAAAAAGATGCAGAGGCTGGAATGTCTGATTTTAATCACATTAAAATAAGAATTATGCTTTGCTACTGCTCTGTTCAATTCAACAGGTGTTTTCCATAATACTTGTCATTATATGAGACAGATAGTTATAAAAGATCTCAAAGTAACAATACAAATTGTCCTGAATATGGTACCATGAGCAATTGATATTTATGAAATAGAGAATCTTTTTTGGCATGGGGAAAAGTTTACAAGTATAGATGAATCTTCTTATCCCAATTTTTTCTTTTCTTTTTTTTCTTTTTAAAGAACAATCATCTCATTGTCCATTGTTTATACTTTGGGGCAAGTAGTCACTGCCATAAGTTCCATTAATGACCTCTCGGATGCTAACCATGATGGAAGCCCTGATATCATTTCTTTACATGTGTAAGTTGAAACTTATTCTCTTATGTATTTTTTTTCCAGCTTTATCTGTATAACTTCATTCTCTCTTGCCCCTAAAAAACGTGCCTGTTCTTCCACAGTTAACTTATAGAAATAAAAGAGACCATTCCTCTTAATCATAAGTTGGGTATTGAGCATATCGTTGTTTTGATGTCAAATGGTATTTTCTGTCCTCTGGTTTTGATGTTCCATCTACCTCCATGTCTTAGTCATAAACAAGCAATTTGTATTGGGATCAGACTCTCCTTGAGGCAATTGAAAGATTCTCAGTGGCAAGCAGCTTGTCAAACACAAGGTACATTCTCAAGGCTTAGATGGCACCTTTTTGCTGACTTCAGTGTTTAAGTCAAATGCTAACTTTTTCCTAGACTGAATTCATTTTCTCTTCAGTGGGGTGTGGCCTAATGGCCAAGATCTAAGAATGTCCTTCATTGTATACTTTCATGTTTCCATAAGTCTATAGAAAGTGAAGCTGAGAACTAATATATCCTTTGCAGGCTGGACAAGCCAAGCTGGGAAAAATTGTTCCTTAAAAAATTTGATCCCTTACAGTAATTTACTTTCATAGAGAACTATGGACATTCAAATAATAGATTTTTTTATGTTCATAGTAATAACAACATTCCTTCCAGGAAGGAAATGTAATATTTAAAAGCCTCTATAGCCATGTAAGCAAGAAAAAAAAAACTTTTAAAGAATTTTTACTTTTAAGCAATATCCTCTAGCTTTCCTACTGGTTTTTCTGAAGTTTACAAGGTGTTTGGTAAACATCCTTAATATAAAACTAATAATTTAACCTAACTTTTCTCTCCTGGCTAAGACTTGCTGGTTTGTTGGCATTCACTTGTTTCAGATTCTAGTAAAAACAAAACAAAACAAAATCCTTTTCATTAAAAAAAAAGACTTTAAAAAAAAAGAGAGAGAGAGAGAATGTGGAGTATTTAGTCTCTGCCAACTCTGAACTTAAGGTAAGTTATTTAACCTATTAGGGTTTTAGGGAACTCTAAGACAGTAAGTAACAGATGAAATGTCAGTTTGTATCAGCAGAAAGAATCTTTACACTGAAAATCCCTACACTCAGGAAATTACATCTGGACCTCAAAATAACTGCCCTAAATGGTGTCATTTTATGACAATGTGATTACTATTCCATACTCTAACCTACAGTTGGGATTCCCCATCCCGAGGGTCTTTAACCAATCCACAAAGACTATTCCAGCCTATTCAGTTTCATATCTTTATGTGAGGACTTAAGTTTTATAACAATGTCAGTTACTTTACATAAACTGTCCATATTTAAGGACTCTTTCTTTGTCAGTATTAATATTAATACTAGCTACATAATATTAATGTAGCATTTTAAGGTTTATAAATGTTCCCTCATTTGATCCTCACAACAACCTGGTGAACTAGGTGCCATTATTCCCAGAGATAGAATTAACTGACTTTTCCAGAGTAACACAGCCAATAAATATCTAAGGCAGGATTCAAACTCAGGTTTCCTGACTCAAAGTTCAGCACTCTATTCATTATGCTACCTAGTTGGTAAGACGTGGCTACTTGAACATGGTCAAGAAAACAAAGAGAAAAGCCATATATATTTTAAAAGCTTTCAGGCTATATTCCATAATTTTAGGTCACTGTCTCATTGGTTTACTTGCTGTCTAAAGCCTCTTATTTAAGGGGTGTCAGGGATATTTGACTTCCTAATCCCCAAGTTCCAGCTTTGGAACTTGTTAGACTAACTTGCTAGACCAATGTGTCAGTCCAACTTGTGGGACTAACCCTTGTGGGACCCCTGGAAGTGGTTAACAGATTTTCCTCCTGAGAAGTCAATCTAAACTCATTTGAGTTGTAATCTCTATTTGTGAAGATCTGGTAATCACTAGGGAAAAAAGTAAATCCCTCTTCCCTTCCTATTTCAAAAAAGTTAGTTGAAAATTCATCTCCTGTCCTTGAATCAACCATCTCTTAGCACTCCAGCACACTACCTGTAAACCTCAGGTGTTCCTCTGGTAACTTGATATATAGATCTCAACGTTTTGCATCTGCCAGCATAGCCAAACAGATCCACCTACCACCCAGGACTATTAATCCTAATAGGTCTCAAAAAAAAAATCCTAATAGGTCTCTAAAGGCTGATTTTAAGCTGATTTTGTTTAAGCTTTAGCTACTCAGGTATACCCCTTTCAGGTATAAATTGTTGCTATGGAATTTAACTGTCCCTTATAATGTTGCCTTAGTCACATTTTTGTGGAACCATTCAAAGGCATTAGGTACAGTATGATTATGTCATTTCTCTAGATATGCTGTTTCCTGGGAGAAGAGAACATTTATTGTATGCAACTAAGATATTGCAGATAAAATTTGTAGGAATCAGAATTTCACTTACTTTCCTCAATAAATATTTGAGCCGGCTCTGTGTCACCATATCACATATTACAGAAAGGGAGGATTGTTAAGAACACAGAAGAGACCCTCTGCCTTTGAGTAATGGATGTTTTAAAAAGTTAATTCCTTTCCCTAGAGCTTTGTGTATGGTGGGGCTTGTCCTGATTGCTTTTGGTACTGGCGGAATAAAACCTTGCGTGTCAGCATTTGGTGGAGATCAGTTTGAAGAAAATCAGGTATGTGCTCTTTGTTGAAGATGGATGATTGGATCAATATATCTAGGAATAAAATGCCATTGACTTAAGTTCCATCAGCCACTTGGTTTTTTTTTATTTAAGTATTCTTGGAGTAATGTATATAGTGATAGAAAATGAGCTAATGTCAGATAACCAGTTGGTTTTTTGTCCTTAACAGTTGCTATTGATTTGTGCTCACTATTTTTAAATATCCTTTTCCATACAGGAAAAACAAAGAAACAGATTTTTTTCCATCTTTTATCTGGCCATCAATGCTGGAAGTCTGCTTTCTACAATCATAACTCCCATGCTCAGAGGTAAAATATCTTGACCGATAGGGTTACTACTTTCTCTTCTTTCTTGGATGGCAAAATCACATTATTGCACATTGGATTGAGAGTCAGAGCTGGAATTTGAATGCCAACTCAGCTAACTGACAATATGTCAATTTAGACCAAATCTCTTCATCTTTATTGTCTTCATTTCCCCAACTGTAAAATGAAGGGACTTGATTAGATGACTTCAGATGTTCTTTCCAATGCTAACTCTGGTCCTATTAACCTTTCCTTTCCCCCTTGCTATTTACCATATAGGAATAGAAAGTGCTTTCCCTTTCTTGTAGTTTAGGCTAGAAAGAGAAATCTGGACTTAGTTTCTACTCAACTTGATCTCAACATTCTAGTCCCTTACTAGTTATATCCCAAATCTCATAGAAACCTATGAGAAATTTTTATTCATTAGTTTTTAATCCGCAATGCAACTTATTCAAAGCAAAGGAGGCTAGCTGACATTCCTATCTCCCTACCCCCCATACACCATATGAACCAGAAGTTGTTTCTTGAAAACTAAAGAAAAGAAAATGACCATTGAGAAAATAGTACAAGTATTTCCTAGAAAAAAAAATGAAAAGACAATTTGAAAATCAACAGAATTCACAGGATACCAATAGAAACAAACTTCCAATGCAGTTCATCTGAATATTGTCATGCTTTAAGAATACAACAAGGTTGATTTCATAATAGCTAAGTAGAAAGATATCACATTAAAAATTAGTCATTCAGTCAACAAAATTTTTCTATCAAAAAAAAAAATTACAGGAGAACCATTAGTTGGAATAAGATATTCTGATAGTTAATTTCCAAACCAGCTCCTCAGTAAAACTGTGTTCTTTTTTATAAATAAAATTATGTTAATATTTTTTTATTTTTACATCACCTAAATTTCTCCCCATATCCCTCCCCCTCCCAAATAGCCATCCATAGAAGAAATAATATTTTTAAGGAAAAAATGAAAGGAAAAAGATTTTTAAAATCAGCAAAACAGATCAATACATTGAAAAGGTCGGAAAAAATAGAATAGGGCAAAGATTGGGAGGGTAGATACTAAATAATACTCCCAAATCAAGCAGAGGTGGAAGTATGTTGAGAGAAAAGAAGAAAGGACTGGAAAAACCTAGATTTCAAATGAAATCTAGAGTTAATAGTCTAAAATAGCACTATGTTGAGTTGTCTGTATAGAGTTAATACTAATGAAATGGAAATATCTATTGTCTTATGATGAAACAATTTTATCAAAATATGATAGAAGATAAATAGAGCTTAATTATTATAATAAAATTTAATGTAAATAAATTGAATTGTCCTGTTTAGAAGAAAAGATATTTAAGGATATTAAACACAATCCAACAATGTTGCTTCCAAGCAGCAATGTTACAGCACAAATATTTATTGTTCTAACATGAAAGGATAAACTAAAATTTACAATGCTTTAGCCAATTTTGGGAAGTCAAGAGTAGCCATGATTTCAGACTCTAGTAGAACTAGGAGATGTTGAGATAAGGGAATTTTATATCATGCTTAAATGTTTCATTAACAGAATTTCAATATCAAGCATATAGGTACCTAATTGAATAGCAATTACATTTATAAAGGAAGTATTATTAGAGTCCTAAAAAATTAGAAAATCAATAATAGTGAGAAATTTTAACACTAATGGGATATGATAGATGAAAAATCAAGCAAAAATCAGACATTGTGGTATAGATAGAATGGTGCAGAAATTGGATTACTTTTGGAGAGAACTTAATGAAAATGTATGGAATATATACTATTTTTAAAAATAACAAACATTCAAAAATGGATGTAGGACATCAATGAAAAAAATTAAAGCACATTTTAAAAAGTGTTATTGTCTATGTGACCCCAGACAAGTCTCCTTATCTCAATGCTGTAGGTAACTCTCTAAGACTGTTGATGGAAGATCTGTAGCTGTTCTGTATTAGAAGAGGCAATTTCCTCACTCATCATTAGAAATCCTAAACTAAAATAATAATAATAATAATAATAATAATTCAGAAACAGTCAACAAGGAAAACAAGATCAGAAGATATCTACAGACTTACAAAGAGGAGAAAATGATGTCTATACTAATTCTTCTATTAAATTACAGAAACAACAGCATAATGATATTATAAACATAGCATGTAAAAATTTGAGATTGAAACAAATTTATACTGGTGAACACACCAATGAGAAACTAACAACTTGAATTTACAGTTAGAGAACTAGTACATCTAAAAAATGCAAAGTAAGAAAACATAAAAATTAGAGAATTATCAAATTAATAAAAATAGATCTGGTTTTTATGAAGACAAACTTAATAAACCAGTATTGAATTGAATCCAGAAAGAAAAAATGAATCAAAATAAGAGATCTAGATTGATGGAGAAATCTAGAAAACTGTATTATGCTTTTATATGTTAAATAATTATATATCAGATGATACATTATTAAAAGCTAAGCATTAAAAATGGATTAATAATTAGAAAAACAAATCTAATCCAAATTGACAAAATAAGAAAGATAAAATCTATTAATAATGGAAAAAGAAATTTAAAGATTCATAAAAAGCTGATATATCAAAAACTCCAGAATCTGATGGATTCACGAGTCAATTCTAGTTAACAAAGAATATATTACCATGATATATGTGCTCCTCAAGTCTGTTAAGAATGAGGCAGAAAGCTATAAACTTATCACTAATGTAGATCAATGTCAAACAAGTAAATTCATTGACATGTCAAAATGATTATAATGATCAAGTAGGATGTGTGAAATTGACAGCAAGGATGAGTCACTGTTAGGAAGTCAATCAGTATAATTGCTTCTATTAAAGTTCTACTTTGTAGTTTAGTGTTTTTTCAGTTATATCTAATTCCTCATGACCACATTTGGGGTTTTCTCTGCAAAGATACTGGAATGGTTTGACATTTCCTTCTCCAGCTCATTTTACAGATGAGGAAACTGAGGCAAGCAGGGTTAAATGACTTGCCTAGGGTCATCCAGCTAGTAAGTATCTGAGGCCAGACTTTGAAGAGGAGTCTTCCTGATAGCACTGTGCCACATAATTGCACAACATTCTACTACAGTGCCCTGTTGCAGGGGTTCTTAACCTTCTTTGTGTCAGAGACCCTTTTGACAGTCTGATGAAGCCTATGGACTCCCTTCTCAGAATAATTTTTTAAATGAATAAAACACATAGGATTACAAAGGAAACCAATAATACTGAAATAAAGTTTTGTTTTTCAATCCAAGTTTACATACCTGTAGACAATAAGTTAAGGGGTGTGAGTAGGGAGAAATAGATGTTTACAGAAATATTTCTGCTGGCTGAGAGGAGAAAGTACAGGCATCAAGAAGCTAAAGAAGTGGAACTGCTAGAGAGAGACCTTGACGACCGCAGAGAGACTCAGTGGGATGCACTGCAGAAAAGAGGTTCAAGGACTGTAACTTCACCACTAGATTCAATTTCTACTTGTTGTTCCCTCCTCTGTGGGCTTTTGAAGGGATTGGAGGGGGGTGCCTTGGGAAAGATCCTAGGAACTGGTCCCAGAGAGCAGACCTAGGACCAAAGGATGCCTTTTCTGGGGAGGCCAGTTTCAGAGTAAGCACCAGAGCCATTCCAAATGGATCAAGCTTCTTGGAGAAGTGGTAAGCGTCTTGTCACTGTAAGTATTAGAAAAAAACAACAACAACAACAACAACAACAATGGATGACCTAGTGGTGGTCACAGACCCAGGAGCTGGGAGAGACCTTAGGAACCATCTAATCTAGAGCTTCTTAACTTTTTTTGTATTATGTATCCCTCCGGCTGTCTGTGAAGTCTATGGAGACTCCCTTCTTAGAATGATGGAAAATCAGTTGTAGTGAAATGAAGAATTTTTGCCCCTAAGTTCATGGGTCATAGAAATCTATCCATGAACATCAGGGTAAGAGCACTGCCCTGTGTCATTGAAATGGCCCTGGGATCTCAAAAGCTGTGAATTAAGCACAAGCTCTAGCAGGTCCTACCAAGATGGAAAATGACTTTCATTGTTGGAGGACCAACCTAGTCAAGTTTGGAGGAGCTCTTGAGGACAATTGTGGTTTACCCCAGTTGTAGCAATTCTCAAAGACCAGATCTTAAATGGTAGCTGGGTTGTCTTCATTAATCAGTTCACTGAGGATCTGTAACTTTAAATTCAGTATAATGAAAAGGAACCATTGAATATATACATGTATGTATATATATGTACACACACAGATACACACACACACACACACAAACACACATATACATATATAGCCGTAAGCGGTCAATTTATCAAGTTTTAGGGATTTTGTTTTGGATGACTTTTTATCTCAAATGGGAAGAGAAAAATTTACCAACATGAAGTATTTATTTGCAACTATCATAAAATTTTTTCCAAAATTGTTAATTGATATATTTTCTTTTTAAAAATTTATTTTATTTTTAATTTATAGAATAAAACAAGAATTTCCATAACATAGTACAATAAAAAATGGTTGCATATGAAACTGCAAATCTACTATACACAACTTGCTATTCCTTTCAAATATCCAACAAAATTATCATGTAAATTTATTTTTTTTCTTCTCTCTCCCTCCCTCCCACCTTAGAGATGTCTACCATTAGATACAATAGGTATATGTATATGTAAAATTATTAAATATTTTCTTACATGCACCTCCTTCCCTTTTTTGCTCAGTGAGACATGTGTTGTAAGGAAGGAGGAAAAAAAAGTATGTGTGAGGAGGGGACAAATCAAGTCATCCATCACATCCACTCAGTGTAGCAGCATATGCAGTATTCTCACTTATAGTCCTCCCTGCAAAGAAGGGGATCATAGACCCATAAGTTTAGGGCTAGAAAGCACTGAAGGCACTGATTGCAACCCCTCCATTTTGCAGATAAGAAAATTGAGGCTCAAATAGGTAAAAGGACAAGTCTTCACAAAGAAAGTGGCAGAGACAGTATTTGAACCCAGGTCCTCCGACTACAAATCTCTTGTTCTTTCACATTGTACCAGGGGAGGGTGGTAGATAAAGAAATGCATTTTCAAACAGAGAGCTCACTACACTTACTGAATTTTCTTGTGTGTATATCCAAGTTTTATACCATACGCAATTATTAGCTCAATAGGACATTTTTTAAGAATTCAGCTTTATTTTATTTTCAGCTTCAAATTCTCTCCCTCTTCCCTCATCTCTCCCCACTCATTGAGAAATCAAGACAAACAAAACCCAGACAAATGGTGCAATGGAGAGAGTTTTGGGCCTGGCTTCAGGAAGACCTGAGTTTAAATCCAGCCTCAGACACTTACTAGTTGTGTGACCCTGGACATGTCACTTACAATCTTGAGCTATAGTAAGTGAAAAAAACATGAGAACTTCAAAAGACTATGAGAAGACTTTTATATAAAATAATGCAGAATCAATATCCATACTAATTATAGACACACAGATTATAGCTATGTTAATAATGGTAACAAAATAAGGGAAAGAAAAAGGTTTAGAATGAGACATGAACCCAATTTTGTTATTATTTCATCAAAGTTGTATGTACTTGAATTGAAAATACCATCATAATGAAATCTTATAATCTGTAGTTTAAAAATTCATTATGTATTCAAGTCTATTATAAACATTTCACAATTTCTCACATGTTATCCAATCTTTTTTCCTTCTACTGGATTCTGGTTCCAATTCATTGCCCATCTGAACTGCCTCTCCCTAATATATGTATATACATATATATGTATGTATATGTATAGAACATGCTATACAATAGCATGTCATAGTTTGAAGTACATGCAATATACTTCTCTCTTTTTTTTTTCTACAATGTTAGGCTAATTTTTTATCCCAATATGCTCCTCAGCACAAAAGTCCTTTTTGTTAACCCAGATCTTCTCATAGTGATGGTGTAAGGTTGCAAATCTTGACATTCCAGTAGTCAACGACTACAGTAGCATAGGAATTAGAAGCATGATGGATGCTAGTAGGTTGCAACATGTTTCTAATCATCACATACAGCAAAATGTATGGAATGAAGAATAACTAGGAAATGAGTGGTGAGAAATGATGGCCCTTGTGTAGAAAGAGCAAGACATATCTGATATTAGACTGATGCAGTGGTACGGATGAAATGTAAAAATGCCTAGAAGCAGGTCTTTAGAATGCACATTGAGAAGATCTCCTGTGGAGGACCCATGGGATGACATGATCAAATATCTCACAGGAGTTGAAGGCAGCATAGGCTGTTGTTGGGAAGAACTGAGTTTAAATCCAGCTTCAGACATTTACTAGCTGTGTGACCCTCGACATGCCACTTACAGTCTTGTGCTATAGTAAGTGAAAAAACATGAAAACTTCAAAAGAATAGAAGACTTTTATATAAAATAATACAGAATCAATATCCATACTAATTATAGACATACGGATTATAGTTATGTTAATGATGGGAATAAATTCTGGGAAAGAAAAACAGAGATGGTACCCAAGTCAATGAAGTCCCAAATATATCTAAATATAGTGGATGCAAATATTTCTGTGAATGGCTATTAAGTTTGTAAACTCTTTCTGAGTAGGCAAAAAAGATCTGAACCATCCACTTAAATTTTTGTTTGTTTAATTTCCAGGAGAGATTCTGTTAGAGAATCTTTTTTTGTGACTTAAACACAAGCTTCATGATATCAAGGTTTATATTAAAAATTAAACATTGATCTAAGACATTACATGGCAGAATTACCATGTGATTACATTTCATGATAATTTATTTCTCTTTTTTCTCTAGAGAAAATACTACAGAACTAAGAGTCATAGATTCTTTTTGTTAAGGGCTGGTTGCTGCCATGTATGCCAACTCACTTTTTTTTTCCTGTGAGGAAACGGGCCTAGAGAGGTGTCTTGGTGGGTCAAGTTGGATAAGAAACCAGGTTTCCTATCTCCAAGGTTATCACTCTTCCCTTTTTCTTTTTCTCTCTTCATTATAATATAGCCTACTAACATAGAAGCTTTTGGATGTCAGAGGTAGAAGGGAAAGTCCAGGTGGTTGAGTAAAGAAAAAAGTGTATTTCAATTGAGTGTTCGTTGAGGGCAGGGTTGGTTTTCAAAGTTTGTTTCATCTGTCATGGTACTTTTTATGTGGTGGGTATTTAATAAGCATTTTATTTTTAAATTGGTAACTAATCTAGCTTTTATTAAAAAAATATGTGTGAAAGAAAGTTCTTTTCATTACCATAACAAAGTATGGTTTGACTTAATTTTCCTGCAGTTCAAGAATGCGGCATTCATAGCAAACAAGCGTGTTATCCATTGGCATTTGGAGTCCCTGCCGCTCTGATGGCTGTAGCTCTATGTAAGTCTCTCCAGTTCACTAATATAACTTACTGAGTCTACCATCATACTCAGCAGTGTGGATAGCTTTCTTTTTTTTTAAGTGTTTACAATCTTTGAGAATCCTGGTAGAAAGACTATGTTCCTCATCGTAGAATATAAGTATGGATGATTTCATGTTTTGACTTTATTTCTCTAGCACCTAGCATATTGTCTTTCACATCAAGCTGATTGATTCCTGCTTCCTTCTTCAGTGATTTCAGCCACTGACTGATGGTTTTTCTCTTCTCCCAAGCTTCTTCCCTAATACTAGGGGACTTTGGGCTCCATGTTGCTACTCCAGTTCTTCAATTTACTCATTTACTCAATTAATTTTCCAGTTCCTCAATTTACTCATTTCCTGTTACCTATTCCTCCGCTTTACCTCTAAATCTAAATATGGTTATACTTTTGATCTTGCCATCACCCACAAAGGTTCCACTTCCACATTTATAAACTGAAATTCCTTTATCTGATCATAATCAATCAATCATTCTTTCTCTCTGCTTTGCAATGCCTAACCCTATACTTTATCTTCACTGTGACCTCCACCCTTTAGTTCTTTCTTAGGGCATAATCCCTACACTAGCTATACACTCTCTTTACTCTTGACCCCTTGGTGGACTTCCTTAATAATCAAGTTCCTTGCTCTCTTAACCAATCATGCATTGCTAAGCTTCAACCTTACGTTATTCCTTTCATCTTCTGCCTTCCTCCTCCTATTTTATATGAGACAATATTTGTAAAGCACTCAGTACAGTGTCTAGCACATAGTTGGTTTGTTGCTTGTTGTCAAATGACATCCCTATGTTAGAGTCAAGTTACAGTGGCTATGGCTGATCAGATCAGTATGAGCTCAGAATGCAAAGGTCAGGCACAAATAGTCCATGTGAACATTTGGGGTCATCCAGTCTTTAAATTTGTGCATCTCACGTTTCATCTGAGCTACTTCAATTCTGCTTTGCTCATAGAGCACAGCAACCTACTCTAATGAGGGCGCACCATGCTGGGAAGTCCTGTGCCAGTGTCTCCCACGTCATGCAGTTGATTCCAAAAAATTCCAAAAAAGAGACCTTGAGAGCACATAGTAGGTGCTATCTAAATGCTTATTCCTTTTCCTTCCTCTACCCTTATTCATGTGCTACTGAGCAAAGCTAAAGAAAATCATGAAACTGCTGACTGGGTATACTAGAAAGTTATGTTACATAATCTCACCTGGGCTGTCATTACAGCAAGGTAATCTTGTATACCTCCCTAATTGATTATTATTCCAATCACCACAGCGACTTCTCCAAATTTTTTCATCCTTCCTCAGACTTCCCATGACAACCTCCCACCCTCTCAGCTGAGAACCTTGCTTCATACTTTGCTGGAAAAAAAAATGAGGCCATTTCCTGAGAGCTCTTATTTCCCTCCTCCTCATCTTATGTCACTCAGTTATCTTCCCCATTATCTCACAGGAAGAAATGGCTCTTTTCCTTATCAAGAAAAACCCTTCTACATATACTCATGATCTCATTCCATCTCATCTTTTCCAGAAAAATTGCTCCCTTTATTATCTCTACTCTATGACTAATCTTCCCTATCTACAGGCTGCTTATTTATTACCTACAAACAAGCCTGTGTCTAAGCCTCACTTGAACCATCCATCCCAACTAGTTGTAGTCCTTTATCTCTTCCTTTTAGTTTCTTTTTGGTGAGACAATTGGGGTTAAGTGACTTGCCTAGGGTCACACAGCTAGTAAGTGTTATGTGTCTGAGACCGGATTTGAACTCAGGTCCTCCTGAATCCAGGGCCAGTGCTCTATCTACTGCGCCACCTAGCTGCCCCCATCTCTTCCTTTTCTTAGCCAAGTTCCTTGAGAAAGAGCTCAACAATGAGTGCCTCCACCTCCTATCCTCTTACTCTCTACCAAATAATTTTCAGTTTGACTTCCAAGCTCATCATTTAACTGAAGCTGCTTTTTCCAAAGTTACCAATAATATTTTATTGCCAAATCTTTCACATAATTATTGTTTCTATGATTTGTTCTTTGACTCACTCATTACTAAGGATTTCATTATTAAGTCTCCATTTGGGTCTGTGTTTTGTATGTATGTATTTGTATGTGTATTAGGGAGGTTTTCTATATTGAATACTAGCTTGATTGTGTTATAGTCTGTAATGGATGTATTTAACTTTCTATTTTTTCATATTTGTTTGCACTGTTTCTATGCCTTAATATCTGGTTAGTTTTTATAAAAGTTCCACATGGTGTCAAGAAATATATATATTTCTTTAGCAGTTGCATTTAGAAGATGCTATAAGTCTTTTAGCTCTGGTCTTTCTATCAGTTTGTTCAAATCCAAATTATCCCTTTTATTTATCATTCTGTTAGACTTGTTCAAAACAGAGAGAGACAATGAATTCTCCCTGTAACTATTGTGTTACCATGTCTTCTTGCAGTTCAGTTAATTTTTCTTTTATGAATTTAGATGCTAAGGTATTTGAAGCATCTAAGTTTAATATTGATATTTGTTGTTTATGATTTCTCTTAGCAACATATAGTTTCCTTCCTTATTCCTTCTAATATTGTGAATTTTTTATAACATGAATACAACTCTTGTTTTTTAGAGTCATCTTATGCATAGTTTTATTCTGTGTATATCTTTGTTTTTAAATGTTTCTTATAAGCAACAATCATGGAATTTGATTTTCTTATCCAATCTATTGCTCTTTTTTATTTTATTGGATTGTTTAATTCTCTCATATTTAAAGTTGTGAGAGTTAGGTATATACTTTCCTCCATTTGTCTTTAATTTTTTTTTCAAATTAGAGTTTCTTTCTAAATGTACAGAAGACACGTTCTTCTGGGAGACCTCTATTCCTTAACTTGTCTCTACATATCCTATCTTAAAGATCAAAATGTTTTGCTTGTAATGAGATCATCTTTTCTTATATTATTATTTTTTGCTTCTTTTCTTTCATATTGTCCTTCACTTCTGTGTTTTTGCATTCCCAATCAATTATTCTCACTTTTATTTCTTGATGAGACTTGCCACTGTGGATTCAAATTTTTCTATTTTGTCAATTTTTTCTGCTGTGCAAACCATAAATTTTATTTTTACAATTCTTATTTTCCTTTTCAACCATTCAAAAACATCCTGCTCAGGCTCCATGTTTTCTTGGAAATCCACAGGGTCTTCTCCCTTGTCATGTGTTGATTCATTGTCCTTTATCTTAAAGTATTTATTTATAGAAGTCTGGGCTCATTTATCTCATCTGGAGGTCATATTCCCTTTTATTATTAATGCTTTAATTATTGGCTTATCTGCTTATATTCAAAATCTTTGGCTGAATTGTCTTCTTTATGAGATCCTTGGTAATTTCAGAATTCTTTTTTCCTTTATACTTTCCTATTGCTAACTTTTGGACTCTTTCACCTTAGATAGGGATTTCCTTAGAGGCTAGACCTCAAATTCATTTCAGCCTCCTCCCATGCTGGACAATTTATATTTTGCCAACCTCAGTTTCTACCCCGTTTTCTAAGGAGACAGTACTGGCTTCAACTGGATGCTGCATTCAACTTGTGCCACACAGCCTCACATCCTGTCATCGTATCCTAATTCCCTTCTTTCCTTAGTTCTCCATCTGAGCTCTGTCGTAGTACAGAGAGATTCCCACATTGTTCTTCCAACCAGAGAACACCTCTGTGTTTTTTGGCTTCCCAAATCACTGGGAGGAAGAAAGAAGATAGAGTTGAGTTTTGTTCTGGGATGGGTTGTGTATTCTTGCCAGAGCATGGGGTGCAGTGGGGTAGAGACTGAGTGAGCACATTGGAAATTAAGGATTACCTTTCTCTACATGATCTAGATCATGGAGACGGCTGAAATTATGAGTATTCTCCAAGGCTCTTTCCTGGACCCTCGCCTCATTCTGTATTATGTTACTTGATGATCTTACCAGTCCCCATGAAATCTATTCTCTTCTCTATGTAGATAATTCTTAGATCTACTTTTCTAGCCCTCACCTCTCTCCAGATCTCCAGTCTCTCATCTCCAACTGCCCATTTAATATTTCAACTGAATGCCTTTTTCCATCTCAAACTTAATATGTCCAAAACTGAGCAAATCATCTTTATTCCTAAATCTTCCTGTCTTCTGAATTTTCCTGTTACTATTGAGGGCACTACAATACTCTTCATCACTCAGGCTTGAAACCTAGATGTCATCTTCAATTCCTTTCTTGCTCTCACTCTCCCGTATCTATTCTGTTGTCTGTTTTGTCAATTATGTCTTTGTAACATCTCTCATATATGTCCTCTTCTCTCCTCACATAGTCACCAACATGGTGAAAGTTCTCCTCACCTCATGCCTGCTCTATTGCAATAGCCTTCTGATGGGTCCCTCTACTTCAAGTCTCATCCCATCCCATTCCATCCTTTGCTCCCCCTAAAACTCCAGTCTGACCATGTTACTCAAATACTCAATATCTCCCTTTTACCTCCAGGATCAGCTATAAAATTCTCTTTTTAGCTTTTAAAATCCTTCCAAGCTTGGCAGTTTCCTATCTTTCCAGTTTTCTTACACTTTACTTCTCTACACATACTCTGTGATCCAATGACATTGGCTTCCTTGCTGTTTTTCAAACAAACCACTCCATCTCCCATTTCTAGGCATTTCCCCTAGCAGTCCTCCATTCCTGCAATGTTCTGCTTTCTTAACAGTCACCTCCTGGCTTCCTTCGTGTGTCAGCTAAAATTTCACCTTTTATAATAAACCTTTCCCATCAATGCTAGTGCCTTTTCTCTGAAATTATCTCTAATTTACCCTGAATGTATTTTATATGTAGATAGTTGTTGTGTTGTTTTTCCCCCATTAGAATGTAACCCTTTTTTTTTGGCCATTCTTTGTATCTGCAGCACTTAGTGCAGTACCTAACACATCATAAGCACTTATTAAATGGTATTTGACTTGACTAATTAACTTGATAGATAATCTCCCCTTCTGAACTCCTTCAACATATCTTTGTAACATTCATTTGCTTACAACACTTGGAAAGGTAAATATTAGCACAGCCAATGGCATAAGGCAGAGCTAAATAGATGTTACAAATGGATGTTACAAAAAGAGTTTTGAAAATCAATACCTGTGGACTGAAGTATCCAAGAAAGTCTTCAAATAGGGCATAGAATTTAGGCTGGACCTTAAAGGTTGAGCAGAATCTGACCAAACATGTAGTCATGTAGTTCAGGTGTTATAGGAGAGGCATTTGAAGAAGGGGGAACTATATGAGCAATAGCTCAACATAATGAGTGAATATTTTTAAAAAACAGTCTAAAGAACAAGAACCCCTTCATTAGATCATATTAGACTTTAATTATTACAAAGTAATTCTATTTTGTGGATACTTTTGTATAGAAGACTTAGAACTTCTAATATCTAAGTCATGAAGCAAAATGCTATTTTACTGAAACTAGAGAATGGTGCTTTAGAAGAGATCATAGGGTAGAGGGGAAAATTGATTATACCTTTTAAATACATAACAATCCTTAGCCATGTCTTTGTGGGTTACCCTTGTATTCTTGCCCAGGCAATTATAGGACTCAAGCTCCATAACATAATGCTAACTTTTGCTTCCTCTATGTATATATTGCCTGAAGTTGATTATTTTCTCTTTAATCAGCATTATAGTCTGTCTGTATGACTTATATAAGACATCAAATGGACTATGGCCTAATACCTGAAGAAATTCACTTAAAACATCTGACGAATTGTTGAATTGTCTAATGGGAGACCTGTCTTCCACTTTACTTATTTGCATTGTTATATCATCAGAAAGCAAACTACTTGAACTTAAAAAAAAAAAAAAAGACTTGTAAAACATACATTCACTAAGTTGTGAGTTTTTTATGCTCTATATTTTTATAGGAGTGGACATGAAAGCAGTCTGTTTGAAGAATACTTCAGTATCTTTTATAAATCTGGGTTATAGATTTTATTCATGCTGTCCTTAATATGTAAAGAATAGCGTGAGAAATCCTTCCCTTCACTTTAGTTATAGGGAGTAAAGGGTTCCTAACAGATGAGATTGTATGTGTTCTCATCAGAAAACAAACTGATGAGTGAACATTTCTCTTAATCATAACAGTTAGGAAACTTAGAGCCAGGTTTGCTGCTTTAAAAAAAAGCATTTTATCTAGATAAGTGCATACAAAATAATTTCAGAATGGAAAGAAAGTACTCACAACTAGGGGAGGGTGGATGTAAGGAAAGACTTCCTCCAGGAAGTACTTTAAAGAAAGTCTAGGAATTCAAGGCAGAAGGAAAGGAATTAATTCCCAAATATTTTCAAAGGAACAGACAGGGGCAGAAGATAGAATGCCATGTAAGGGGAACTGAGAGGCCAGTTTAGCAATAATGGAGTGCTGTGAGATCCAGCTTGAAAGATAGTTTGGAGTCTGATGGAAAAATGATAAATACAAGATAGTGTATTTTATCTGGAGTAAATAGGGAGTCCCCAGAACTTCTTGAGTTGGAATGATATGGTCAGATATACTCTACAGCAATACTAATGTTACCATTAGAGGGTGGATTGGAGGGGAGGAAAACTGGAGGCAGGTAGAGCAGTTGGGTAGTTTGTCTAATCATCCAGGTGAAAAGTCATGAGAGAATGAACTAAGACTGGCCATGTGAACAGAAGGAGATAGATGAGATGCTGATTTTTTATCTTCAGAGAAGTGGTGACTGAATGGACATGAGAAGTGAGGATGACTTTGAAGTTGTGAAAATTGAGGGCTGTAGAAGGATAATGGCATTGTCAACTAAAGTAGAGAAGTTATGGGAGGGCAGTTTAAGGAAGAAGAAAATAAGTTCTTTTGGGGGTATGTTGTATTTGAAATGCATAGGGGATATCCAAGGGGAGGAATCTAGCAGGGAGCAATTGATATAAGTTGATTGGTGCTCAAAGAAGACACAAGGGCTCTATATGGAGATCTGGAAGTCATTTGTCTAGAAATGATTAACCTATAGAAACTGAGGAAATCAATGACAGCTGATATGCTAGGAAGTCATAATAGTTAATTAGTGATTTAGTTATGGCATGAGTCAAATTAGGTAGACTTAAAGGTCACAAGGTCCTTTTGAATTTGATATATCCCAATAGAATGTAAGCTCCTTGACAGCAAAAACTCTTTGATTTTTGTCTTTGTATTCCTACCACAGCACATGAAACATAGTAGGAGTTTAATAAAGGCTTGCTGACCCATTGTCTGATCTGTTCTTCTCTAGTTGTGTTCATCATTGGCAGTAGCATGTACAAGAAGGTTCAACCTCAGGGCAACATAATGTCTAAAGTTGCCAACTGCATTGGTGTAAGTATGACAAACTATGCCATGTTTAAATTTAATTTAACCATTTTAGAAAAATCTTAGGGTAAAGGGGAAGAAAAGGGAGGGGGCTAATAGAATGGAGGCGGGACTGAGGGAGATGGTGTTTAAAACAAAACATTAGTGAGGAGGGAAAGGGAAAAAGAAGAAAGAAAAGCATAAACAGGGGGAAATAGTATGGAGAGAAAGACATAAATAGTAATCATAACTGTGAATGTGAATGGGATGAACTCTTCCATAAAATGGAAGCAGATAGCAGAATGGATTAAAAACCATAATCCTACAATGTTGTTTATAGGAAACATATTTGAAACAAAAGGACACACACAGGGTAAAGGTAAAAGGCTGGAGTAGAATATATTATGCTTCAGCTGAAGTAAAAAAAGCAGGAGTAGCAATCCTGATCTCAGACAAAGCAAAGGCAAAAATAGATCTTATCAAAAGAGATAAGGAAGGAAACTACATCCTGCTAAAAGGCATCATAGACAATGAAGTAATATCATTACTAAACATATATGCACCAAATAGTATAGCATCCAAATTCTTAGAGAAGTTCAGGGAGTTACAGGAAGAAATAGACAGCAAAACTATACTAGTGGAGGACCTCAACCTCCCCCTCTCTGAACTAGATAAATCTAACCACAAAATAAATAAGAAGAAGTTAAGGAGGTGAATAGAATTTTAGTAAAGTTAGGTATGGTAGACCTTTGGAGAAAACTGAATGGGGATAGAAAGGAATATACTTTTTTCTCTATGGTACCTGGTACATACACAAAAATTGACCATGTATTAGGGCATAAAAACCTCACTATCCAATGCAGAAAGGCAGAAATATTAAATGCATCTTTTTCAGGTCATGATGCAATAAAAATTATATGTAATAAAGGGCCATGGAAAGATAGACTAAAAAATAATTGGAAACTAAATAATCCTGAAAAAATGAATGGGTCAAACAACATATCATAGAAACAATCAATAACTTCATTCAAGAGAATGACAATAATGAGACAACATACCAAAACTTGTGGGATTGATCAAAAGCAGTTCTTAAGGGAAATTTTATATCTCTAAATGCTTATATAAATAAAATAGAGAATGAGGAGATCAATGAATTGGGCATACAACTAAAAAAAATCTAAAAATCCTCAATTAAACACTAAATTAGAAACACTGAAACCCAAAGGAGAAATTATTAAATTGAAATTAAGAAAACTATTGAACTAATAAATAAGAGTAAGAGCTGGTTTTATGAAAAAACCAAAAAAATAGATAAAGCTTTGGTTAATTTAATTTAAAAAAGAAAGAAGAAAACCAAATTACCAGTATCAAAAATGAAAAGGGTGAATCCACCACCAAGGAAGAGGAAATTAAAATAATAATTAGGAACTATTTTGCCAAACTGTATGCCAATAAATTTGACAATCTTAGTGAAATGGATGAATATTTACAAAAATATAAATTGCCCGGATTAACAGAAGAGGAAGTAAAATACTTAAATAACCTCATTTCAGAAAAAAGAAATTGAACAAGCCATTGATGAGCTCCCTAGGAAAAAATCTGCAGGGCTAGTTGTTTTTACAAGCAAATTCTATCAAACATTTAAAGAACAATAAATTTCAATACTATATAGATTATTTGGGAAAATAGCCGAAGAAGGAGTCTTACCAAATTCTTTCTATGATACAAATATGGTGCTGATACCTAAACTGGGAAGAGTCAAAACAGAGAAAGAAAATTATAGACCAATTTCCCTAATGAATTTAGATACAAAAATTTTAAATAAAATATTAGCAAATAGATTACAGCAACTTATCACTATGACCAGGTAGGATTTATATCAAGAATGCAGGGCTGGTTCAATATTAGAAAAACTATCAGCATAATTGATCATATCAACAACAAAACTAACAGAAACCACATGATCATCTCAATAGATGCAGAAAAAGCTTTTAACAAAATACAACACCCATTCCTTTTAAAAACACTAGAGAGCATAGGAATAAATGGAGTCTTCCTTAAAATAATAAGTAGCATATACCTAAAGCCTTCAGCAAGCATCATATATAATGGGGACAAGCTAAAAGCTTTTCCAATAAGATTAGGGGTGAAATAAGGATGTCCATTATCACCACTGCTGTTCAATGTCATACTGGAAACGTTAGCTTTAGCAATAAGAGAAGAAAAAGAAATTGAAGGTATTAGAATGGGCAAAGAAGAAACAAAGCTATCACTCTTTGCAGATGATATGATGATATACTTAGAGAATCCTAGAGAATCAAATAAAAAACTACTTGAAATAATAAACAACTTTAGCAAAGTTGCAGGCTATAAAATAAACCCACATAAATCATCGGTATTTTTATATACTACCAACAAAGCCCAACAGCAAGAGATAGAAAAAAAATTCCATTTAAAGTCACTGTAGGCATTAAAAAATATTTAGGAGTCTACCTACTGAAACAAACCCAGGAACTATATGAACACAATTATAAAACACTTTCCACACAAATAAAGTCAGATCTAAATAATTGGAAAAACATCAGTTCCTCATGAGTAGGCCAAGCTAATATAATAAAAATGACAATTCTACCTAAACTAATTTACTTATTCAGTGCCATACCAACCAAACTACCAAAAAATAATTTCATAGAGCTAGAAAAAAATAACAAAAATTTAAAAAATTTAAAAAATAATAACAAAATTCATTTGAAATAACAAAAGGTCCAGAATATTAAGGGAACTAATGAAAAGAAATGCAGGGGAAGGTGGCCTCACTGTTCCAGACCTTAAATTGTATTATAAAGCAGCAATCATCAAAACTACTTGGTACTGTCTAGGAAATAGAGTGGTGGAACAGAGGAATAGGTTAGGTATGCAAGAAACAGTAGTCAATGACCATAATAATCTACTATTTGACAAACCCAAAGACCCCAGCTTCTGGGATAAGAACTCACTATTTGACAAAAACTACTGGGAAAACTAGAAAAGAGTATGGCAGAAACTAGGCATAGATCAAAATCTCACATCATATACCAAAATAAAGTCAAAATGGGTTCATAATTTAGATATAAAGGCTAATACTATAAGCAAACTGGTAGAGCAAGGAATAAATAGTTCAACTATCAGATTTATGGAGAACAGAAGAATTCATGACCAAACAGGAGAGAGAGAACATTATGAAATGCAAAATGGATAATTTTGATTACATTACATTGAAAAGTTTTTGCACAAACAAAGCCAATGCAACAAAGATTGGAAGGAAAGTAGAAAATTGGGAAAGAATTTTTACAACCAATATTTCTGATAAGGACCTCATTTCTAAAATATATAGAGAATTAAGTAAAATTTATAAGAATACAAGTCATTCCTCAACTGATAAATGGTCAAAGGATATGAACAGGCAGTTCTCAGATGAAGAAATTAAAGCCATGTATAGTCATATGAAAAAATGCTCTAAATCACTATTGATTAGAAAAATGCAGATCAAAACAACTCTGAGGTACCACATCACACCCATCAGATTGGCCAACATAACAAAAGTAGGAAAATGTTGAATGTTTCAAGGAATGTGGGAAAACTGAGACACTAATGTACTGTTGGTGGAGTTGTAAACTGATCCAACCATTCTGGAGAACAATTTGGAACTATGCACAAAAGGCTATAAAGCTGCATACTCCTTGATACAGCAATACCACTGCTAGGTCTATTTTCCAAACACATCCAAAAAAAAAAAAAGGAAAAGGATCTATTTATACAAAAATATTTATAGCAGTTCTTTTTGTGGTGGCTCAGAATTGGAAATCAAAAGGATACCCTTCAGTTAGGGAATGGTTAAACAAGCAGTGGTATACAAATAATGGAATACTATAGTGCTATAAGAAATGATAGGGAAGCTGACTTCAGAAAAACCTGGAAAGACTTGTATGGACTGATGCTGAGTGAAGTGAGCAGAACCAGGAGAAGGTTGTACACAGTAACAGCCATGTTGTGTGATGACTAACGTTGATAGACTTAGCCCTTTTCAGCAATGTGAGGATCTAAGACATCTCCAAAGGACTCATGATAGAAAATGCTATCCACATCCAAAGAAAGAACTATGGAGTTTGGATGCAGATCGAAGTATACTATTTGCTATTTTTTTTCTTCTGTTTTGCTTTGTTTTCTCTTTCTTGTGGTTCCTCCTATTGGTTCTAATTCTTCCTTACAACATCACTAATGTGAAAATGTGTTTAATAGGAATGTATATGTATAACCTATATCAGATTGCACGCTGTCTTGAGGAGGGAGGTGGGAATGGAGGTGGAGAAAAATTTAAAACTCAAAAACTTATGGAAGTGATTGTTGACAAATTAAAATAAATTAATAAAAAAAACTAGTGGAAAAAAAAAGAAAAAGAAAAACCTTCCTGTTTCCCATTAGGGAAAAAATTTTCCCTGTGGGTTAGATTCATATTCTTCCTTACCACTTCACTTTTTTTTAATGCTATGTAATTTGCATCAAAAGACCTTTTTGAAAATATCAGACAATTCTAAGATAGTCTTGGGTCTCTTCTAGTTCGAATTAGGCTAACTTGTATGCTTGGCTTTACAGCTTTAAGAAGCTCTGCAAATATACTTTTCTTACAATAGATATACAGATTCCTAAAAAAATGCCTGCAAGAATAGATCCACTTCAAACAATCTTCTACTTGGCTTCTGTTTTAAAAACTGAAGATTCTCCCACTAAAAAGAGCTTTAACTAACATTTAAATGAGGAACCTGCCTTCAACTAGCTGTGTGCCTTGGAACAAGTCACTTAAATCATTTTGGACCTCAGACCTCCAATCCTGGCCTTCTGATTCTTTACGCAGTGCTCCTTCTATTGTACCACTCTGATTCTAGATTAGAAGATTCATCATCCCTTAAGTGAGACATTTGACTTTTAGAGGGCTGACTCCTTGAATACTCTTAAGTGAAAAGTTAAGTTGTTTGTAATTTAAAATCATGGATGACCTAAGGGTCATTGCTTATGCCATCTGGTTCAATCCTTTCAAATGTGAAAGCAAAGCCCCAAAAAAGTTTGTTGTCTTGTCTAAGATATTTAATAACCAAAAGGGGAGTAGAATTTTGATCTTCTCTTAGTCTAGTATTCATTCAATAACATCATTACCTTGATATTTGTTGTTCGGTCATTTCAGTCATGTCTGACTTTTTGTGGTACCATTTGGGGCTTTCTTGGCAAAGATACCAGAGTGGTTTGCCATTTCCTTCTCCAGCTCAATTTACAGATGAGAAAACTAAGGCAAACAGGGTTAAATGACTTGCCCAGGGTCACACAGCTAGTAAGTGTCTGCATCCGGATTTGAACTCAAGTCTTCCTGACTCCAGGCCCAGTGTTCGATCTGCTGCCCAGCCTAGAAACATCTTTCTCGTATTTTACAAAACAAGGGTGGTAACTAATGTTATTGTGTTTAGTACTTGACCAAAAACAAAAACAAAAAAACAAACAAACTCCAACAACACGTATGTTTAACTATTATGGTTGTCTTTGCCCATAATCAATTCTCTCCTGTCTTTTAAGATCAAGATATTCCCTTTAATCTTGCCTTTTTATTGCTGTAGTCTTTCCTGATTTAATTTCTGACTATCTTTAATAGTGACACTTTTTTCCCTCCCAGTTTGCAATCAAGAATAGATTTAAGCAGCGGAGTAATGAATTCCCAAAGAGGAAGCACTGGCTGGATTGGGCTAAAGAAAAATATGATGTAAGTGTTTTATTCATCTTAGATTGGACCCAATCAATTGCTTCCCTCTGGAAAGAACTTCAGTAGGGCTTTTCATGTGGTAGCCACTGTTTGAGTTGAATTTAATTCATCACCAATGTTATATGTTTGTTCCTGAAATACTTAGCAGGCATATTGCTGCTGACATTTCTAAATGTATTCCTTTGTGTGCTTAATTGTATTCTGCCATTAGTCTTTCTGCCTCCTGGAATCTCCTTTCAAGATGTTGCTCAAGCACTGACTTGTATATTAAGATTTCTTAACCCTTTTTGTGACAGGGAGACATTTGTTAGTCTCAAGCTAATGGACCCCTTCTCAGAAAAATGTTTTTAAGTGCATGAAGTTATATATATTATATATGTATGTATATGTCAGGGAAGTCAATTATATTAAAAAGAGTTATGTAAATAAAATTTTAATTAATAGAGACCTTGAGAAGGGGTATCTGTAGCCTCTAACTTTAAAATCCCTGTTCTGCAGGAAAAATTCCCCAACTCTACCCTTCCATAACTTCTAGTTTTCTCCTTCCCTAAACCACCTTGTATTTAATTACTTTTTATAGATTTGTCTTTATTCTGTATACACTTATTCTATATACACCTACATCTTCGCTTATTGTCTTCCCCATTTGAACTTAAGCTCCTTGTGAGGAAGAATTTTCATTTTTTGTATTTGTATCTCTAGTGCCTAACCCAAGGACTGGCACATGGTAGCTGCTCAATAAATCTCTTGTTCATAAGTTGATGTCACTTTCATGTATGCTAATTTTTTATGATTTCAAAGGCAAACCTTGATTTTTATGCAATTGATACGGTCCTGAAACATATGTAAATTTGGAACCACAGTTTGAAAAAAATTGTCAAGTTCTTCCATAACTTACAGGTTTTTTAATCATGTGAATTTCCAATTGCTTGTAAATTTTTTGAACGCAAAACAAAAGGAGACTCACTGGAGTTGGCAGATGAGAGATGAGGGAAGTGCTTTCATAAGGTGTCTTGTTTTGTTTCCCCCTGTTTTAGGAGAGGCTTATTGCCCAAATAAAGATGGTTGTAAAGGTGATGTTCCTGTATATTCCTCTCCCGATGTTTTGGGCTTTGTTTGATCAACAGGTAATAAAGCTATTGCCAAGTCTGTATTTTAAATATTTAACTTCCCAGGAAGCATCCATTTGGCAGGGGGGGGAGAGTGTTCGGGGTCCCTGTCCCATTCTTAGCCACACTGTTGACTCTACTTCTAACTCAGAAATTAAGTGAAAAAGTTAGATTTGGCCAAAAATCCTGTGAAAGCTTTGGCCAATTTTTTTTTTAATAAATCATTGCAGTATCTGAAGTAGAAGTGTAGCTAGCAGACCAGCTTAGAACAGTTATTGCTTACTAAGAATTCAGACAATTTCATTCTTACTGTATCATATTATTTTCAAGGGCTCAAGATGGACTCTACAAGCAACAACCATGAATGGAAACTTTGTAAGTGTATAATATCTGTCCCCAACCTTAGACATTCATTGCTCATCCGGGCTAGTTGATCAATGAAGCCTTCTTTCTCTCTTTTAGGGAGCAATTGAAATTCAGCCTGATCAGATGCAGGTACAGTTGAGGACTTGGCGTACTTTAATTCTTAAAAATGACTTGAATCTTTGAAAGTAGCTAAATTAATTGTTGACTTTATTCCTGATTTACTTGCAACAGACAGTCAATGCCATCCTGATTGTTATCATGGTACCAATTGTAGATGCCGTGGTTTATCCTTTAATTGCCAAGTGTGGGTTAAATTTCACGTAAGTATAAGTTACTTCATATATCATTATATGTATATGTGTGTATGTATGTATACACACATATACACATGTGCACATGTATATATTTGTATATTTATATATAAATACAAAAATACATTTTGTTTATATATAGATGTGTGTGTGTGTGTGTGTGTATATATACATACATATACACCCACATATATATGCACACACATATGACTTATGTTGCTTAGGGGTTCTATGCCTCAACTAGACTGAGTTTTTGGAAGGAGATGACTTTTTATTTACTTCTTCTCACCTCCCAACTGCAATGCTTATCCATTTAAGTTGGTCGAGTACATGCTCATGGGCCTCTGAGAACTCGTCCTTTAAAATTAAACACTCTTGAAGGAAATCATGAATGTATGTGATTTCTAATTTAGTTGAGGTGAAGGTTGATTAGACAATTCTGGATATCTTCCTAATGGGATAATAGATTTAGAACTATAAGGGACTTTGGAGGCCATTAATAGCAACTTATTCCTTTGACAGAAGAGGAAACTGAGGCTGAGAGAGATTAACTGATTTGCCTGTGATCACACAGATCCTCAGTGTCTGAGGCAGGATTTGAACTCGGGTTTTTTTGACTACAGGTCCAGTGCTCTATCCACTGGACCATCCAGATGCCTTAAGAAACAGCCTTTGACTCAAATGAGGCCTACCTGAGATTTTATTTTTAGCTAAACTTTTTTTCACCTAATGTAGTCATATCCAGTAAGTCAGCAGTGAAGAAGTAGGTAATTGTCAATTAAAGCCTCCAGGTAGTTAGGAACTGCAATTAAATCTGAATGCAATTAATTATGTAATTAAACTTATTCAGCCTGGAGAGATGTGAATTTCTAATGTGATCCATTGGTGAAAAATTAAGGCACACCTGATTTTATTTTTGGAGGGTCTTTTTGAATGGGCTGGTCTTTTCAGACTAATGTCAGATTCTTCTTCTTCAGTCCAGATCTGTAGCATCAGTAGTTCTCAACGTAGAAACTCCTTCCACTAGGTTTGCAACTGAGTCACTTCACCTGTAGTGAAGAAGGAACTACTTTACATATTCCTGTAAGAAACAATACTCGGACTTAGATCTTTCTAACTCTAAGGCAAGCCTTCTGTCCATTGTACAATGTTGCCTCTGTTGTAGATGAGTGTTTCAAAGGCCAATGCACAAATACTTTAAGATCAGTTTGTCTTATTAATTTTTGAGCTGTTAGGATTGCCTTCTCCTCCTACTGCTTCCCCACTTTCTCCCCCTCCTTCTCTGCCTCCATCTTGTTCTCATATTGACCACCCAAATCTAATGGAATTCAGTCCCGGGCTTTGTTTATTTCATTTGTACAAAGCAGTGAGTGAGGAATTTATATTAGATACTAGTGTAAATGCCCCACATCTTCCCTTTGCAGGCCCCTGAAGAGGATGACAGTGGGCATGTTCTTAGCTTCCATGGCTTTCGTTGCAGCTGCGATTGTGCAAGTGGAAATAGATGTAAGTTGCCCTTTGTAATTAGGGAGCACCTGAAGGCATTTCTCCCGGTGGCTCTAGGGAGATGGGAGTTCCTCAGACTGTGAAAAAAAGGAAGTCCAAGTTCTTTCTCCTCCAGTGAAAGCCCCAAAAGTCTAAGGCAGGGGTAGGGAACGTGTGGCCTTCTCGGTCTTCAAGTGTAGCCCTTTGACTGAATCTAAGCTTCACAGAACAAATGCCTTTAATAAAAGGATTTGTTCTGTAAAACTTGGACTCAGTCAAAAGGCCACATCCAAGGACCTAGAAGGTCACATATGGCCTCGAGGCTGAAAGTTCCCCACCCCTGGAAGAAGTGAACCTTGCCAAGACAGTGAACTTTCTAAGGGAATTAACACACCACTAAAAGGTGGGGATCAACAAACTTCCCCCAGTCAAGGGGATCAAGAACAAAAAGGTTGTGAAAAACTTTTGGGAATTTCTGAGAAACTTGTTTGAAGAATGGGAGGGAAAAAAGTAGCTTCTCAAATGCCATATTTTAAGTGAAGAGACAGGGCATTAGGGCAGAGCCTTGATCAATTTTCAAGTAGGTTCTCTTTCCTCTTTTGGCACCCTCTTCCTCTCTCTCTATTTTTCCATACTCCTTTACCTAGGCGCAGCCCACCCTTCCCTGAAGTGCTTAAAACTAATATTACAGAGATTGTTTGTTTTCCTTCAGTGAAGTGGATCCCACATGTGCAGGCTAGCTCTGGCATACCTCTCTAAGACAACTTGGCACATTACTTCCTTTTGTACCTGTTGTTCTAGCCTGCCTGTTCTGGCTTGCTTTTATGGTCATTGTTCTAGATTGTTCTTATGTCCATTGTTCTAGCTTACTTGTTCTAGCTTGCTTTTGTCCGTTGTTCTAGCCATTGTTCTTGATTTTTTTGTTCATTATTCTAGTCATTGCTCTAGCTTGTTTGTTCTAGTTTGCTTTTATATCCCTTGTTCTAGATATCGCTCTAGCTTACTTTTATATCCATTGTTTTAGCCATTGTTCTAGATTGTTTTTGTCCATTGTTCTAGCTTGCTTGTTCTAACTTACTTTTATGTCTACTGTTCTATCTTACTCATTCTAGCTTGCTTTTGTGTTCATTGTTCTATCCATTGTTCTTGATTGTTTTTATGTTCATTATTCTAGCCATTGCTCTAGCTTGTTTGTTCTAGTTTGCTTTTAAATCCTTTGTTCTGGCTATTGCTCTAGCTTACTTTTATATCCATTTGTTCTAGCCATTATTCTAGATTGTTTTTATGTTCGTTGTTCTAGCTTGCTTTTATGTCCATTGTTCTAGCTTACTTGGTTTCCACTCCCCACACTCAGATTTGACATACAACCTTCATGCCTTTGCATGAGCTGTTTCCCCCTTCCCAGTGGAATGTGCTTCTCTGCTTACCTCCACTTGTTTCCACCCACATTTTACTTAGATTCAGTAACTGTTCAACTTACTTAGGTACTACATCACACACTACCTTCTCTTATCCTAGCTATTACTGTTCCCTCCCTCTTCCCTTCAAATTACCTTTTAATTACTTATCTGGGTACATGTTGTATTCCATCCACTCAAAGGTAAGCTCCCTGGGAACAGTTAATGTTCTGTTTTTAATCTTTGCTTTGCTCATAGTAAACCAAAATGTTTAGGTTGAACTCAGTGTAAAGAAATAGGAAAGATGTATGGTGCATATACCCTAAAATGCAATGTTGGGCCCACATCTCCTAGAATTTGCCAAGCAGGGCCATGCCAGTAGGTTGGGTAGCTTAGCAAATAGCACAACTAACAATGAAGAAATGTGTATGTGTGGGAGTATATGTACGTATGTGTGTTCAAGACCTTTATATTAGGTAATGGTTTGCTGTTAAATGTTTAATAATCAGATCTGGGGAGAGGAAAGGTAATATACCCAACACATTTTCAAGTTTAATCTTCATCTTAACATTTTTTCCATCACTTACTTGTCTAGATAATCAACAAAACAAGAAGATGTAAAAGCTCATGCTGAAAATTTAACATTCAACTCTTGTGGGCCACGTTGAGTTGGCTCCAGCACATGCCTGTGTATAAGCCAATCTAGAGGTTTTTCCTTATAATTAAGGCTACTTTTATGCAGTTTTTATTTAGATAAATGTCTACTGATTGTAATTACTGCACTAAACTTTCCCCTGCCTACTTTTTTTTTTCCCATTTTGCCCAGAAAACTCTTCCAGTCTTTCCTACAGGAAATCAAATCCAAATTCAGGTACTGAATGTAGGCAATGAACCCTTACATGTATCTTTTCCTGGACATAGGATGGACTTACAAGTGAATGAGGTAAGTAGAATAGAGTACAATTTTTTGTGTGTTTTTGACTTCTTGCCTATTTTCACTTTGATTTGGAGAAGCTATTCTCCAATAAACCAATTAGATGAAGAATGCCTACTGCCTAAACTATGGTAAATATCTGAATGGACAATTTATAGAATTTGTCCATGAGTGTGTGTGTGTGCATGTTCATATTTGTATGTGTATATACATAAATGCACACATATGTATGCATATAGATATGTGTATATATATATACACGTATATGTCTGTATGTATATATGGATGTGTATATATATATAAAAATATATATTATATATAAATATTTTATATAAATATTATATATATATGTAAAAAACATGTCACAAGTCCTGAAGCATGTATAGAGATGATCATATTATGGAACAATTTTGAATGGCATGGCTTGTTTTTGTTTTTTAACCGATTAGAGCTTTATTCAGTCATTCTGACTAGTCATTTTGCTTGAGGTTTGAAGTCCTAAAACTGTTTTGATAGGAAGAATTACTTTTGCTGGTTCCTATTTTATTGTCTAACTGACACCTGGAATAATTACAATAGAGTTACTTTTAAGATTTCAAACTATTTTGAATAGGATTAATAGTAAGGAAATTGGGGAGCTAATCCCATCTCTATCAGTAATTACTTTTGTGAACTTTGGAAACTCATGTATCTTCTTAGGTCTTGAATTTCCTTATAAAGCTGGAGGACTTGGACCTCTAGAGTCCCTACTAGCTCTAAAACAGACGTACTAAAATCAAAATACTCTCTGGCTTATTAGTGGCTTATGGTTGGGAGGTGGGGTAGTATTCTCAAGTCTGCTCTGCCATTGATTTGTGTGACCCCATACAGATTAGTTTCTCAATATATTGATCTTATTCTCATTATGTTACTTCTATTATTCTCTATTCAATCACTCATAATCATTCAATGAATCATAAGTGATTTCTAGTCATAGGTTCTCAGATTTGGAAGGGACATCACAAGTCATTTAGGTGAAATCTTCAGATCCTGCATCTTGCTTCGACAATCCTAAAAATTACTTGTTAAGCCTTTGCTGAAACATCTCCATTGACAGGGAGATTGTACCAGTCCCCCGAGGAAGCTCCTCTCTTTTTTGGATAGCTGTAGTTATTTTTCCTAAAATACGCTTCCATATAACATTTTCTCTGGCAAAACTTCTAGCTCTGCTTTTTGGAGCCAAGCCAAACAAGTCTAACCCATATTTTGTATAATCTTCAAATACTTGAAGACATCATATTCTTTCCTTTGTTACCCCAAATGCTTCTCTTCTCTAGCCTAAACATTTTCAATTCCTTGTATTAATTTCTTATTTTTGACTCCTTACCACCCTCTTCAACCTCTTTTTATGCTATAGGAATTTCCTAGCAAAGTACTCAAATAGAATTGAACCTTGTTTGACCTTCTGATCATTGATATTAGGTGAGACGTAAACTGAGAGAAAATGCACTGTCATGGAGGAGGTAGAGCCCAGAGTCTAAATTAGAGGATTCTTGATAACTATAATAAGTCTTCTAGATTATCCTAATTGCAGATGACATTGAATTAAGTCCTGGAACATTTCTGGTCCTTCTGGATAAGATCAAGCTTAAAAGTTTGATCTCATTATCAAAAAATGAAAAATCAATTAGATGAAGAGTGCATATTATCTAGACCATGATATGCATTTGAATGGACAATCTGTAGGGCTCATCCATGAGTATATATGACTATCTTAGGCAGACATTGCAAATGAAAAAGGAGATATACTTGGAATTGAGTAGTATGAGGAAAATAAGCTGGATTGCATTTGGGAAATTACAAATTATTATCTTGTAATTTCAGTGACCCTAAACTTCTTCCTGAAACTTCCTGAAAATATTTTTAATACCAAATATTCTTTTGTGGATTGGCCAAAAGTCATGCAACCCAAAAATTGCCATTAAATTGAAACTGAATATTGCCCAGAGGGTAGTGGAGAAGCAAGCATATGATGAATGTGAAAATGAAGGAACTTATTACCAACAAGAAATCATGAGGGCAGCTAGGTGGCACAATGGTTAGAGCAACAGCCCTGGAGTCAGGAGGACTTGAGTTCAAATCCAGCCTCAGACAAACACTTGACACTTACTAGCTGTGTGACCTTGGGCAAATCACTTAACCCCAATTGCCTAAAAATTTGAAAAAAAAATCATGAAGAAGAACTGGAGTTAGGGATAGTATTAAAGCAACATATTTGTGAAAAATTTGACCACATTATAGTGAAAGTGAGGGATAAGTGATAGACAAGCTCTTGTGTTCCATTCTCATCCAAGCAAGGACAAGAAAAAGGAAGCAAGGTCCTCCACCTGTTGGGAGACCTTCTGTGTCAAATTTAGGAGAGGAAATAGACAAGTTGTACAGGGGGCTGGCATGGTTGAAATGTGATCTGCACCATTGGGGGGAATACCCATGATGAAAATGCAGATCCATTTGGCTGAGTTTAACCATCTCTTCTAAGATTTCACACAGAATTAAACTTCCCATGTGATCTCACTTCCTTTGTTCAACTATCTATATTTATATTAATGAAATTTTGAGACTTCCTTAGTTCTGACTCTTTAAGCTTGCAGTTCACTAAAACCCCTAGGTCTCTCGCACATGAACTGCTGTCGAATCATAGCTCCATTGACCTGTGTATGTTCAATTGTGGTACTGTTTTTTTTCTTTTTTAAACAGAGGAAAAGTATTTAGACAAAATTAAGTAGGGAATAAACATAAATTTGAGCCCAATATTCTAGCCTGCCACTTTGGGGATCTCATATCTGTCATGCCATGTATTGGCTATTCATAGCTGTCATAAACTAATTTCATAAGCATACTATTGGGGCAGCTAGGTGGTGCAGTGGATAGAGTACCAGTCCTGGAGTCAGGAGGATCTGAGTTCAAATGTGACCTCAGACACTTTATTAGTTATGTGACCCTGGGCAAGTCATTTAACCCTGATTGCTTCCAAACGGGGGAAAAAAAGTAATGCAGTTGATAAGTGTATTATTTACACTTTTAGTCAAAAACTTTCTATATATATTGAATAGAATAGGACAAAAGAAAGAATGCCCTGTGCCACTTGACTGGTCAACCTAGTAGGACCATTCATTAATACTTATGCATGTAGTCAATCAATATTCCAAAACTATCCATGAAAGAATTATCACAATCCAAGTAACTATAACTGAAGGAAAAATGAGATCAGTTGAAATGACCTATTCTTAATGAGCCCATTTTGGCTCTTAGTAAACATTGTTAAAGCCCTAATTCATTCTAGAATTTTGTTGCACATTGAAGGTAAGCTAAACCAGTGAAGCATCCATCCTTTTCCCTTTATAAAAATTGTGACAGTGCTTTGATTATCCATCTCCAGTTCTCAGCACTTTCCCATTCTTTACAACTTTTCCAAGAACAGACATAATTGCCTAGATTGGTTGTTTTTATTTTTGTCTTTTTATTGTTTTTAGTACATGGGGATATAGTTAGTCTAGAGAAATGACTTGAACCCATTAAGGCAAGCTAAACTCTCTTACCACCTCCTAATTTATCTTTTGCCTTTCTTTGCAGTCAACTCCATTTTTCCCAGCTATGAAAAGCAACAGTCCAATAACTTCTTCTTTTTTTTTTTTTAATTTTTAGGCAATTGGGGTTAAGTGACTTGCCCAGGTTCACATAGCTAGTTTGGTCTGAGGCTGGATTTGAACTCAGGTCCTCCTGACTTCAGGGCTGGTGCTCTATCCACTGCACCACCTAGCTGCCCCCCAATAACTTCTTGATATTTTTTTCTTATCCCTAACGTAAGTGGAAAGAAAGATGGTTTTTGTTTTTAGCACTTACTATAAGGCTCAATACCTCCTAGGTTTTATTCTTCCTTATATCTTTTACAGGATATTGCCATGTGGTACATACAACATAGGTTGCCATTTTTTCTATTTGTCCTCACTTGCCACAGCTTCGGTATATTGCACATTTAAAACATTTGATCACCCTAAGCATTCTCATTAGCTACATTCCCTTCCCCTTTTCCTTCTCATTCTAATCAGGTGTCACTAGGCCACCAGATTTAGTTCCTGAAAGTCTCCCATCACTGGTGAGCTAACTTCACTCTCTAAAAATATTTAGGTCATGGCATCCTATCAATCCTATATCTGAACTCTGAAATCCACCCTCTTAAAGTCCAGGGTTTAAGTCAAACTATGACTCAATTCCCCTCTTTTATATAGATTCTAAGATGTTTTAGTCTTGTTGATGTCTGTTGGGCAAAAATATTTTGCTTTTTCTATGATAGGCTTTTTATCCTTAACTTTCATGTTAAACTGGCATTAGTTCTTACCTTTCAAACTATGACTAGACATATATTTGATAAAGTAACTTCTTTACTGGAACACACTCTGACATCAGGATGACCAAAGTAATAAGTACTAAAATCATGGAAACTTCTTCAGGGTTAAGTCATCTTTGGCTTGAGTTACTAATTAAAGTTATCACTAAATAAGTAGACTTTGACACTTGAGCTGTGTTGTTCCAAAAGAATAGAGGGATTCACTGCAAGTGGTATGACGTACATCACCTGGCAAAGCTGACCGATTTTGCAAGACTAGGCAATGATTCTATTTCAAACCAGACAGAGAGGGACAGCTAGGCGGTGCAGTGGATAGAGCGCTGGCCCTGAAGTCAGGAGGGCCTGAGTTCAAATCCGGCCTCGGACCAAACACTTGACGCTTACTAGCTGTGTGATCCTGGGCAAGTCACTAAACCTAAAAAACAAAACAAAACAAAATAGACAGAGAGTATGACAAAACTGTAATTGTAAAAGTAATTGTAGTCAAATAGACCTGGGCTTGAATTCTACCTCTGACAGTGGTTTCATGACTGTCATTGAATCACTTCACCTCTTTAGGCCTTAGGTTCCTCATCTATAAAATGAGAGAGTTGAACTTGACTTTGTCCTTTCTAGCTGTAAAATTGGGTCCAATGATGATAGCTGATGTTTACATGTCATGTTAAGGTTTATAAAGCACTTTACATATCTCATTTGATCCCCACAATAACTCTGAAATAGGTACAACATGTATTATCCCTATCTTACAGATGAAGAAATTGAGGCTCGAGTTAACTGATCGCCTTTGGTCATATGGCTAATAAGTACCGGATGTAGGATTTGTTCTTTCTATTATATAGTGATTATACTATACTTAGTAGAAAACTCAAAATGTATAACATCCAGTCTGAACTAAGACTTTTGAAAAATTCTAATATACTCCTTTATACAGTGAAAAGGATGATTTTTTTCCCCTTTTAATTGTTGGGCATGAGATAATAAGGGAGATATAAGACCCTTGATTATTATGGCTAGGAAGATAACAGATAAGAAGAAAATTACTCACAATTTTTCTTCTGCTTACTTTGCCAAAAAGAATCTTGAGTCTGGGAAAGATAAAACAAAATTTAATAATAAGCAACTAAAACCCAAATAAGTGAGAATAAGGTAAGGTCACCAAAGCTGCTATTATCTGAAGCTCTCTAGTCCACTTGATATATAGCCCAGACAGGATCAGTAGACCCATTGTTATATTCTACCCTTTAGCAGTAATCTCTGTGGTTATGTTCTTCAGCCTTCATAGAACATAATAAAGAAAGATTTGACGGACCTTGTGGAAACTAAGATATCTTGAGGCAAAGGCCAAAGGCAAAGGTTGTTGGATGGAAGGTCTGGGCAAATAATGCAAATGTAAGGGAAAAAAAAGCCTGTTTGTTTAAACATGTATGAAGATGATTCAGGAATTATAGGGAGTGTTCCACGAGCAACTAAATTCCAGAATCCTGGTTTCCAATTTGGCGTGATGGAATAGACAAAATTTATGATTATGGCCATCTTTTTCTCTTCCACAGTCCAGTGGCTTATGGATTTTGGAAACCAATAACCCACCAAATATAAACATTAGTTATGGGCAACAACTTTACACAGTTCCAAATAACTTTGAAAATGGCTATCGCCACAGTATTCTAGCATGGGATATCAGCAACATTGTTGTGGTAAGTGTTTCTTTAAAGAAAAGTACTATCTCTGTGTTGGTAGGGCCTATAATTGATGTCATAGGCTTTTTATTGTAATTAAGTATCATCTCTGTAGATTTTTTGTGGGTTGTTCTTTTTAAAGAATTGTCTCCATTCTTGCTGCTCACAAACGTAAGTTATTTTACCTTCTTCTCATGTATGTTGGTAGGTGAAGCTAAGAAGACAATACTTGATCTTGGTTATAAGGGTTATAAGCTCGTCTTATTTCCTTGAGAAGAAAGGAACTAGGGATTAATCAAGCACTTAAGTTGTGCCAGATACTATGACAGGCAATGAAGATGCAAATACAAAGTTAAGAATTCTCATTCTGAAGGAGATTACATTTAGCCCTTCCACATCATGACTTTCCCCATAGCAGTTTTGATATATTATAGGTGGGCGTAAGAAATTAAATGGGAATTTTTGGGAGTTTTGCAGAAGCTGCAGATGACATGTGAAGAAGGCCAGAAAAAGTTTACAAGCTCAGAAATGCATAAAATATATGTAGAGTATTGTAAAATGTCAACATATTTTATCTTTTAATACCATAATAATTCAGACTTCTCTGGTACGAAGGGAGGGCCAAAAAATTTTACATGGATTTACCCAATTGCAGGGGCACCATGCCCCTAAACCCCGCAATGTGGAAGGGATAACTGTACACTCTATGTAACACTGAACACTGAAAGTGTTCTTTTCAAGGAACTAGAAACCAACCAACATCACCTTACTTCTCTTAGTACTTGAGAAGCTAGATTTTCCCGATGAAATGAATTTGGCAAAACTAAGCCCTGTTAAACAGCAAGGAAATGCAGATACATACAAGGTGTTCTATTGACACATCTCAACTACAAAGAGGCTGGAGAAATTAACTACTTTGCACGTTACTCCATCCAGCCCTTGAACTAAGTATTCCTCTACTTTAAAGATGCTTACGATTGTTATTTAATCTGACCTTTATTCTCTGAGAAATACATACTCAAATACCTTCAATTAGAAACTTTTTTTTTCCTTTCTCAGCTGAAAGACACCCTTAAAAGCAAGCCAGAAAAAGGACAAAATGGAATCAGGTATCTGTTTTTAATAAAGCTACATTTTTCTCTTCAGCAATCCAGAGAATTTGACGTTTTCACTACAGTTTTTACTATTTTCCCCCAATCACTTTGTTGAGTCAATTTACAGTTTGTGGTAATTTGGAGGGAAGTGTTGGCAATAGCTTTCAAAAGCCATGATCTGTCACTTCTAAGGAGGTTTTTGATTATGAAGCTCAGGAAAGATGTCAACTATTTTTGGCCAAAGATTGGCTTCATTTAATGATATGACAAGGTCAAAAAATGAAGGTTGTATGATCTAACTTTAAATTAACCTAAGTCTTAATCTCTAAGGAAGATCTTGTGAAAGGTAGTTCTGCCTCTTATTTAAGTTTGGTGTTTTCTCATCTTTTTCTATGGCAGCCCTAACATAAGAGTCTTTGATCTCTATGTATTTCACTTTGGAACTTGTTGATTTGCTCAGCTTAGCATAAGATCATCAGTATACTCTTGGATTTATCAAGATCCTATTTTATAACACATTTATTAGTCTTTAATAAGGAGCTTATACCACTGAACACTTTTCTTGAGGCTCAAAAGCATGAAATGACTATACCATGATCACACATCTGTTAAATATCAGCAACTTCAGTCCAGATCTCTCAAATGCGGGTCTAGTGTTGTTTCCATTACAAGTTGTTGCCTCTCAAAAACTCTATCTATGTTTCAGTCTTCCTTGAAAAGTGGGTCTTACGTATGTTGATTTGTTTTGTTTGACTGTACTTATTTGTTAATCAGTGAGGGTTCTCCCATTGGATGGAGAGTCAGTGGGAAATGAGAGGTTTGTTTTTTTTTAAGAACTTCAATAAAATGCTTAAAGAGAGCTTTCCCCTAAAATCTATTCTTTTGTGTACATATTGCTACTTGTATTATATTCTGCCTGTCGTGGAGATATTATTCTAATAGGGATTGGAGAATTTGCTACAGCTCAGCTCTGTTCTACTATCCCCATTCCCCTAAGCATCACCTCCTCAGCAGTTTACTCCATTAGGTGGGGCTAATGCTGCTATACTGCTGCTGTTACACTCATGAAGATCTATGTCTTTCCTGTCCATCTGCCCTCTTGCAGATTCATGTCTCTTTTTAATTTGTAGTCTCTTTAACGTGGAGTCAAGATTCAAGTTCACCCACAAATACAAAGATCAATGTAATTCAAATGTTTCTCAGGGTTAGGAGTGAGCATTTCTCGCCCTGAATTCTAAATTCCAGTCAAACCCTATTACATAACCTCATGTTACACAATTGAGTTTCTATATATCAATTTCACTTCTAGTATTTTGCTTAATTCTCTTTCAGTGGGGGTGGGCTGGGAATGTTTTTCCATTTTTAGAGAACTATAAACTGAGGGTCAATAATTGTGACTTATTATGTGACCTCAGGGGCAAATGAATGGTGGCTCTTGGACTAGAATCTATAACTTCTGACTCTTAACTAATTAATTGCTCTTCTTAATATGATGCTATTAATATTTAGTCAGTGAAATAAATTTTAATGATCTGGCTAGAAACTAGAAATAGTAGATATTTAAGCTACATAGACTGACTCCAGCATACGTTCTAGAAGTACTTTTAAAAAAATGAATATCTGAAATGAACCAGTCTCTTTGTTTTGAATCTTTCTCCTAAAAGTGGTGCCCATAAAATTCTGGTAATTTTAGAATTTGGAATAGTTGTGTATTAAGTGTATGTTGCATTTCTGTAAGTGCCTTAGAATCTCAGACAAGAGGTTAGGTTTCAACCTGAATTGTTTTACAATCTATAAATTACTTTTTATTAATTATTTAAATTCTGATAATTTTTAGAGTGCTTTAAGACTTTCAAAGTATTTATTTTCCTTGTTAGTATATCCTAATTTTTTAGAGGGAAAAAAAAAACAACAAAACTTTCAACCTCAATTTTCTTGCCCAAAGTCATATGGTATCTGGGTAGAAAAGCCAGTATTAGAATCCAGGTTTTTCAATCCCTACTCCAGTGTTCTTTCTGCTGTGTTATTATGGTAACTTTAGCACCTTTAGAATTCTGGACCTTATTTACAATATTTGTTTCATAGTTGAAACTTTTCTTTTTGCTTTAATGGATTTATTTTCATCATGCCAAAATGAGTGAAGGAATTTCTTCCAGATTTGGCACTAAACAAAGCAGCCTACAGAGTAAATGCTATAGTAAGTGTGTTTAAATATTAGAGGAACTCTTCTTTTTTAAAATTAATTAATTTGGGGGTGGGGAAGGCAATTGGGGTTAAGTGACTTGCCCAGGATCACACAGCTAATAAGTGTCTGAGTCTGGATTTGAACTCAGATCCTCCTGACTCCAGGGAAACCACCCAGCTGCCCCTGGAGCTATTCTTTTCTAAGTGCTGTAGAGAAATATTTTGAACAGAAATTCCATCAAAGAGTAGATCTTAGGAAAAATAGTAAAATATGGAGGCTCAGTTAGAAAACTAGTGATGACATGTTAAATGCTCAAGATTTTGTACTTTGTTGTATTTTAAAAGCACCTAAATCATTGTCAAATCTTTCAGATTTGTCAATGCCTTGGATCAAACCATCGCTGTCAACATGGATGGAAAATTGTATGAGAATATTACCAGTTACAATGCCAGTGATTATGAGTTTTTTACTTCGGGCAAGTAAGTACATTGAAAAAATTTCAAGTGGGGATTTTAAGATTTATTTTCTTTGAAAACAATAGAGTCAAGGCAAAGACCAGTAAAGATGGTGAAATAGAAGGTAGCGGTACAGTACACCTCCACCCTACGACTATTCCAGCAAAGAACTAGAGCATCAGATTCCCACAACCAAGATGTGCAGTTAGAAGATTATACAAATAAGTATGAAGAGATTAGGGGATCAGACAACACTTGAACTTTATTTTCATCTGAACTAGTCAAAGGCAGGTAGAATACATCCACATTCACTTACTCACACACATGCAAAGAATTGGGTCCAGAAATATACTCCAGTCAACAGGGAAACAGGAGAAAATAGGGAGTCAAGAGCGGAGAGAAGAAGATAACAAGAGGGAAGGTAAATTCAGGAAGGAATTAATCAGAAGCAAAATGAACTCTAACCTAGGAGAATAGGTTTCAAAGAAAGATTCTAAGGAAAAAGAGAAAGAGTCAGAACCGATGATTGTAGTCTCAGGGAAAGAGGAAAGACATTGGGAGAGACAGAGAGGTAGAAGCAGAATACATCAAGCACATAATGTTGATGCTGAGCACATTCATCTCTCACTTCCCTCTTCTTTGTAAAAAGGAATGGGAAACAAAAAGATAAAAAAAATATAAGAGATAGGATGGAGGAAAATGCACAATTAATGATCACAGTTCTCGATGTGAATGGAATGAACTCACCCATACTCAAAAAATGGAAGATTATAGCAAATGGATTAGAAAGCAGAATCCAACAATAAGTTGTTAATAAAAGACACACTTGAAACAAAGATTTACACAAAATTAAAAAAGGGTCTGAATCTATTCTGTTTCAGCTAGGGTCAAAGAGGCAGAGGTAGTGATCATAATCTCAGATAAGGCAACCTCAAAAATATCTTTAATAAAAGCAGTAATTGGGGAGATTACATTATACTAAAAATGTAATAGAAAATTGAATAATATCAGTATTTAAAATATATGTACCAAAAAGTATAGTACATAAATACTTAAAGGAAAAGTTAAATAAGATGCAAGGAGAAATAGACAATGAAGCTTAATAATGGGGAATCTGAGTATACCTATTTTAGAGCGGTTAGTTAATCTAATGAAAATATAAATAAGTAGTTAATTACTTAATAGGATTATAGAAACTGTCTATTTATGATAGACATCTGATGATTATTCAATTAGACAAAAGTATACACTTATCTCAACTGTACATGGTACCTTTACTTTTTGTAAACTGATTGTGTACTAGGGCATAAAAAACTCAAGTGCACAAAAGCATAAATATTAAAGATATATATTTTGCTGATCACAATGTAATAAAAATTACATTTAATAAAGGGCCATTGAAGAAATAATTAAAAATTAGAAATTAAATAACTTTTTCTTAAAGAATTGGCAGGTCAAAGAACAAATTACAGAAACAACAGTTAATTTCATCAATGACAATGACCCCAACTAGACAACAGACCAAAATTTGTGAATACAGTCAAAGCAATTCTTCAGGAAAAATTTATATTTCTAAACATGTTTATGAACAAAAGAAAGAAAAAAAGATCAATGAATTGGGTGTGCAAGCCAAGAAATTTAAAAATCCAATTAAACACACAAAATAGAAATTCAGAAAATCAAAGCAAAAAAAAAAGAACAAAAACCAACCAACCTAATGAGTTAATAAAAAAAGAAAAAGTTAAGCCTTTAGCTATTTTGATTTTTTTTAAAAAAGGAAACCAAATTACCATTATCAAAAAAGGAACATTCACAACAAATGAAGAAACAAGGAATTTATTATGAAGTATTTTGTTCACTACAAAACAAAAAGATGACTTAAATGAAATGAATGATAATTTACAAAAATATAAAATGTCCAGATTAACAGATTATTAAACAGAAATTTAAATAACCCCTTCTCAGAAAAAGACATTGAACAAACCATAAATGAGTTTCCAAAATAAAAAGAAAAAAGCTTGACATCATTTGGAGTTATGAGCAAATTCTACTGAAATTCAAAGAACAGTTCCAATATTATATTAACTGTTTGAAAAAATGGGAAAAGAATGAGTACTACCAAACTCCTTTTATGATATAATTATGCTTTTGATACCTAAACCAGGGAGAACCAAAACAGAAAGAAAACTACAAAGCAGTGTCCTATAACTATAGAACAATTTTTAATTAAACATTGAAGCAAAATATGAGTAAGGAGACTACAATAACATACCACAAAGATATACACTACAGCCAGATTGGTTCAATATTAGGACAATTATCAACAGAATAAACTAAAGTTACAATAAGAACACACAAAACAACAACAACACATGATTATATCCAAAAGATGCAGAAAAAGCTTTTGAAAATATACATCAATTTCTGTAATAGAAGACTTAGGAATAAATAGACCTTTTTAAAATAAAAGTACCATTTATTGAAAACTAAGAGCCAACATTATGTAATGAGGATGAATTAAAGGTCTTTATAGGAAGATCAGGAGTAAAAGCAAAAATGTATATTATTACCACTAATGTTTGATACAATGCTAGAAATACTAGCTATAGAATTAAGACTAGAAAAAGAAATTGAAGAAATAAATATAGACAAAGAGAAAACAAAAGTATTGCTTTTTTGCAGATAACATCATGGTTTATTTAGTGAACCTTAGAGAGGAAAATAAAAATTACCTGAAACAATGTCAGCAAACTTGTGGAATATAAAAGAAATTCACATAAATCATCAGTATCTCTATATTAGCAATAAAACCCAGCAGGAAGTATGTGTACTTATAAAGTTTATATACTTAGAAAGTATTTATCCTTATAATGAGAAATTCAATTTAGAACAACTACAGAATCTATAAAAAAAAAAAAAAGGGAATCTACCTACCAAAACACAGAAACTATTACGAATATTGAGTACAAAACACTCTACAGAAATAGAGACATACAATAAACATTTGTAAAGTGCCTACTATGTGCCAGGCACTGTGCTGAGTGCTGGAGATACAAAGGAAAAAAAAAGACAGTCCCTGCCCTCAAGGAGCTTACAATTTAATGGGAGAAGACAGTTCAGCAAAGAAAGCTGGAAAACAGAGGTGGAGCACCAGATGGTAGCCAGCACAGGAGTATCATGTTCTGTAGAGTCCAAACCGAGCAGAGCTGTAGATGTAAAGTGGAGGATTATCTGAGAAGTCTAGATTCTTGCCCTCTCTAGAAAGGAAAGCAGACAAGAGAGGAGGCTGAGGAAGTTGGGAAGTTATTGTGTACTCAAAGCTGAGTTAATGGTGTAATGATTTTGGATGATCAGCTTGTCCTGGAGGGGCATCATATTCTGTGTTGGAGAAATACTACTAGTTCTTGGATAGAAAAGACCAATATAATAAAATGACAATGCTGCCTAAACTAATTTATTCAGTGCCATACCAATCAAACTACCAAAGGATTACTTTATAGAGCTAGAAAAAAAATAAAAAAATTAATCTAGATGAATGAAAGGTCAAGAACTTGAAGGGAAATAATGAAAAAAATAAGTGGGAAGGATGCCTATCGTTACCAGATCTCACACTAAATTAAAGCAGTCATTAAAATGACTGTGTACTGTATAAGAAATAGAGACATCGATCAATGGAACAGATTAGGTAGACAACATGTGGAAACAAACAAACACTGTAGAAGAATGTTTGAAAAACCTAGAAACTGAAGTAAGATCTTAACCTTTGACAAAGAATTCTGGCAAAACTGAGATGCAGTATGACAGAAACGAGCAATCTTGTGTAGTATACCAAAATAAGTTCCAATGAATACATGATTTAAATATAAAGGGCAACATTATAAATAAATTAGAAGGTCAAGGAAGTGATTACCTTTCAGTTCTATGGATTAGGGAACAGTTCATGACCAAAGAAAGGTTCAAGAAAATCACAGAAGATACAGTGGACAATTTTGATTACATAAAATTTAAAAGTTTTTACACAAACAAAATCAATTCAGCTAAAATCGGAAAGGAAGCAGGTAACTAAGGGAAAAAAAATCTTTGCAGCAAGTTTTTCTGATAAGTCTCTCATTTCCAAAGTATATAAGGAATTGATTCAAATTTATAAGAGTAAGAGCCATTCCCCAACTGACAAATGGTCAAACATTATGAACAGGCAGTCTTCAGAGGAAAAAAAAAAATCTATGTTATCAATAGCATATGCAATAATGCTTTAAATCACTAATAATCAGAGAAATACAAATTAAAGTAACTCTGAAGTCCCACTTCACACCCATCAAATTGACAAAAATGACAAAAAGGGAAAATGACAGATGTTTAAAAGATTGCAGAAAAATAGGTATACTAGTGCACCATTTGTAGAATTGTGAATTGGTTCAGCCATCTAGGAAAGCAAGTTGGAAATACTACCCAAAACTTACTAAATGGTGCATACAGTATAACCTCAAAATATCACTACAAGGCTTATATCCCAAAGAGATCAAAGAAAGAGGAAAAGAATTCATATGTACAAAATGTTTATGACAGCTTTTTGTGGTGACAAAGAACTAGAAAGGGGTGCCTATCAGCTGGGGAATGGCTGAACACATTATGGTATTTGAATGTAATTTACTATGAGAAATTATGAAAAGGTCAGTTGCAGAGAAATCTGGGAAGAATGTATGAACCAATGCAGAGTAAAACAAGCTTAATCATAATAATTTATATAATAACAGCACTATAAATAAAACAACTTTGAAAGCAATGCTAATCAAAGCAATGACCACCTACAATACTAGGAGGCCCATTGTTGAAGCATGCTACCCAACTTCTGACAAAGAGATGATAGACTTGGGATGCAGAATAAGACATTTTTTGGACACAATCAGTGTGGGATTTCATTTGCTTATCTATGCGTGTTTGTTACCAGGGGTTCCCTGCCCCCACCAGTGATGGTGGTGAAGAAATAAATGTTTATTAATTGAATGTTTTTCAATTTAAAATACTATATGAAAGCCTCTGCTTATGAAAAAAAATGGCTATTAAATGAGAAATCCTTTTTTCCCTCTTCAAAAGAAAAACTATCCAGATTTTAGGGGGCTGCGAAGGTCAGTCTCCAAAACTTGAATTTGGCAGTGCATACACCTATGTGATAACAAAGGTAAGTTACCAATCCCATTTTAGTAGATTTGGTACAAATTTCTGTGCTATTTGTGTGTACCGCACCCCAATATCACTATAGTTAATACTATTATATTTATAGTGTTTTGAAGGTAATTATCAATTTAGTATTTATTTTAATTTGGGATTTATCCTATTAAACATTCTTTCTAACTTTAATTCTAATTTCTTCAAAATCAGAGAACATTTAAACAATCTTCTTGATTTTTTATTTTAAAATGGAGCTATCTGACTCTGAAATTTAAAAAAAAAAGTCAAGTCCTGTCTTCTCGAGATGTTAGGGACTATTAGAATTTGAGACAGATTTTTTTTTTCCTGTTAAGAGGCCTTAAGCCAACTGTACTTTTGCTCAAATTTTATTCTCACCCTTTGAAAGAAGTATTAGTGGCAAACATTTTTATGGTCCATTATGATGTAATTTCATAATTCCTTCATGTGAATTAGGTTATTTTCCTTAAACTTCATTGGAAATGCTGATTGTGTATCTTGGTTAAAAGAAAATTCATGGCTGTCCCTTAACCTTTAAAATGCCATTACTGTTCTTTTTTAAGAAGCAAAAAATGTATTAATCTCTTTCTCTCTCTATCTCCTCCCTCACTACTTTAGTGTGATGCTGATGGCCTAGAATTTAAGAGTTTTGCAGATATCCCACCCAATACAGTCAATATGGCTCTACAGATCCCACAATATTTCCTTCTGACCTGTGGTGAAGTTGTCTTCTCCATAACTGGCTTGGAGTTCTCATATTCACAGGTTCTGTATTCATTTGTTCTCTCCCTAAAAACATTCACATCTGTACCCTTGTTATTTAGATTGTAGATCTAGCAATATCATGAGTTCATTCACATTGAATCCATTTCTCTTTGAATCAGTATTAGAACAATTTTGGTTCTTAATCTCATTTAAGGTTCACATGAATATTTATTCATACTAAACCATATAAGCAATTGACCCAATCTGAATTGGAATGATGGGAAGCAGGAAATCTCCCCACCTGATGATCATCCTAGCCATTGATTGAAGTTCTAGAGCAAAGGGTGATATTCAAGCATGGATTTTTTTTTTAAATCAATTAAAACTTTGCCGTTCTCTATAATTAATGTCTTAGGAAAGTTCAACTGTGTAGTAGTTTATGTTTTCACTGAGAACACTTAAAAAAAAAATTTCAAAGTAGCAAAACAGTACTTCATAAAAGTATTGAATTCATAAAAACATTGACAAAAAGAATGGTTATACCCTCCTGCCTCAGACACATAACACTTACTAGCTGTGTGGCTCTGGGCAAGCCACTTAACGCCAATGGCCTCAACAAACCAAACCAAAAACAAACAAACAAAAAAGAATGGTTATACTCCTATGACTTCAGGACTTAGATCATAAGGTGAATATTTATCCATTCCAAAATGTCCTTAGAGCTATGGTATAGTGGGATGATCTCCACCATTTCCTATTCTTGCAACCTCAGGTTACTTTATCTAGCATCTGTAAAAATTGAGGTGTTGAACTAGATCTTCTCCATCTCTAAAACCCTGTGATCCCCATAGGGTCTTCCTATAAGCACTTAGGTATGTGGCCATATCAGTGTCAATAATAATTATCAGTATAATTCCAGTCATATTCATTTTCTCAGTGCTGTAAATGAGAATCCATAAAAGATTTTTGAGGCATCAAACCACATCATCAGTTCAGAATAAAATTCAGAATAACCCAAATGCTATTTGATTTCCCACCTTGCCAACCTTTCTTTCTAGTAACTAGCAAAGTACTCCATTAACAGTTATATGGGTTAATCAGTTGGAGTAGTTCAATAGATCCAATTCATTAAAATTGTGACTTTAATCAAATGTCTACTAAAGAAGGTCTAAAGGTCTACTAAACAATCCTAAATTGTTACTGTTCTCCCTCATCAAATTAATTTTCTCAGATGAACAATTTTCTAGGGAAATATTTGTGCACAGGAAAAGTTTGATGAGGCAAGCTGGTGCCAGAGATGAGTATAATCATTGATTTACGCATGTTGAGAATGATTGTTTCCATCTAATAATTTTAATCTCTTCTTCAGAGTATAAACTGCATTAGTGATAATAAATACTCTAATTCAGCAGCTGTTTGGTAGCAACTAGACTGGTTCACATAGGAATTATCCCCAGAAACAATATTTTAAAATACTCATTAAGATCACATTTAATGTCAACCTAGTTAGTGTCTAGATAGCTAAGAGAGAATAATCTTTTCCTAAGAAATGATGAGCTGGTTGATTCTAGAAAAACATGGAAAGATTTGCATGAAATAATGAAAACTTGAGCTGAAACAAGAGAATATTGTATATAGTAACAGCATTATTGTTAAAAAAAATTATGAACAACTAAGTTATTGTGAGTATTATACTCAGATCAACTATAAATGACCTACGAAAGAAAATGTTATCCAGCTCCAGAGAAAGAACTGATAAATAGAAGTATGTATATTATGGTTTTTACATATATTTATAAATCTGTGTCAAATGGTGGCCTTCTCTAGTTCAGGGTTAGGGAAGGAGGGAGGGAGACAGTTCAAAACCTTGAAATTTTAACAAAAATTAATTTGATTTGATTTATATACAATATATGATATATATATATATATATATACACACACATATATAATTCCTTATCTTGTACTAGGCAAATGACTATTGCAAGGGTATTTTAACACTTGACTTAGTTAATGATCCTTTTTCTTTTCTATATGTAAGCCAGAATGATTGACTTGATGATAAAATTTTAGAGCCAACCAAGTAGCCAATCAAATCTTCCTACTGTTGAATTTGCATCTTTTTGTTAATGTCTTATTTCTACAGGCTCCTTCCAACATGAAGTCAGTACTTCAAGCAGGCTGGCTGCTCACAGTGGCTTTTGGGAACATCATTGTTCTTATTGTGGCTGGAGCAGGCCAGTTCGGTGAACAGGTAAGTAGATGTTTGAAAGAGCCCTGGTTGTGTTCAATCCTTTTGAGCTCTACTTGGGCAGAGAGAATTGGCTCCATTATTAAGCTCACATTTGAGTCCTCAGTATTGTCAGTACCAGTGACCCAGCTGTCTTTGTTGCCATAGCCAGGGCTCTATGGTTTTCCCTGTACTTTCTACATTATGGGTGCAGGTAGCTGTTAGACATAGGAGAATTTCCCTGAAGTGTGTATATCATAACAATTTTTCCCTCCCTTTTCTCTCAACTACTTCTACACCTTTAAAGTGGGCTGAATACATTGTCTTTGCTGCACTGCTGTTGGTTGTTTGCATTATATTTGCCATCATGACATATTTCTACACCTACGTCAATCCAACGGAGATTGAAGCCCAGTTTGATAATGATGATGACAAAACAAAGAAGCTTGGAAAAGTTGGGGATGTATCTGATCCATATGAAAAACCTGAATCATTTTCACAGACGAAGATGTGAATGGTAAGAACAAATGTTGAGAACAGTTCACATCAGGATTACTGTAATATAAACAGAGCACTATTGGACTGTGACTGATGAGGAAGAACTTAATTTGTCAACACCTATGGTGGGCAACCATATCAAGCTAACTAACTCTTCTTAACTGTAATGAATGACAAACTCTGGAAGCATTTATAAGACAGATTTGCTTTAAAAAAGAAAGCACAGGGCAGCTAGGTGGCTCAGTGGATAGAGCATCAGCCCTGAAGTCAGGAGGACCTGAGTTCAAATCTGGCCTCAGACCAAACACTTGACATGTACTAGCTGTGTGACCTTGGGCAAGTCACTTAACCCCAATTGCCTCACCAAAAAAATAAAATAAAATAAAAAAGAAAGCAAGAAATTAATTTTTATAACACAAACTCAATTTTGTTGAAGACTATCCTCATCTCCACCATGAAGAGAATTAACCATTATTTTTGTGTATTCCTTTTTTTATTGTGAAAAAGTATCTTTCAAAATATACCATATTGTCTGTACTTCAGCACATTTGTAACAACAGATAAGATGTTAGGAAATGTAACTAAAACTCAAGCAAAAAATGAATCAACCAACCAATATTTCAGTATATGAGTGTCTACTTACCAGTTAGTATTACTTCACTGTCCACTTTCACCAACCCCCACCTCTTTTTGAGCTGTGTATGTAACTCAAACACTCAGGTGAAGGCCAGTTATGGTACTGGGTGTATAAATGGTGTATTGAATAAGTTTTTGTTCCTAAAAATAAATGTTTAGAATTTTTGCTTTGGGGGAAATGAACAGTTTTACTTGTTGGATATTGGATATTTGACAGATTATCATTTTAACGGTTGGACATTGTAAATTTACTTCTCAGGGGAAGTTCTTGTCCCACAGACTCAGGTTTCCATATTTTCCCAATTTCTGTCCTCAGTCTGTGTACTTCTTGAGCCAGTCAACCTAGAATATCAATAAAATCAGTTCTTTTGAAATACTTAGTGTGGATATTTGCTCTACCAACCTAAACAGAACCCTTACATGCCTCAGAAGATCTTCACAACCAAAAATTTCATCTTCTGGTAGCCAGACTTCTGTGTTTTCTCAGCTCAATGAACTGAGAAATGGATGAGGGATGGGAATGTCCATGGTAGAGTCTTTTTTAGATACTGTTGAGGTTTTTCCTCTCTTCATCCTCATCCAGGTTAGACTAAATTCATGGTAATCCCTCACAGAATGGGGGAGAGTCAATCCTCTGAGGTCCTGAGGTTGTTCAAGGAGTGGGGATAGAATTATTCTTAATCCTTGAAACTCATCCACTTCTACCTCAATTAAAATGCAGAATCCTGAATACCATAAGAAATTCAGGCTGAAAGAATGAGGCTTCTGATAACAATATTTACAATACTGTATTAGTCACATACTAAAGGTTGCAAAGTTTCTACTTTCTTTCTCTTGATAAACCCTTTAGATATTACTAGTCCTATTCTGCACATAAAGAAACTGAGGATCAGGGTTAAATGACTTGCCCAGGATCATATATATTTGTGAGGCAGAAACTCCAACCTAGGTGTCTTTTGATTTCAAGTTTAAGAATCTTGCCATTACCCTATCTGATTTCATCAATGTAACATCCCTTCGTCAATGCAGGTCATCACTCCTCTCGCATAGTTATGAATTGCTGTAGCAAATAAAATAAAAAATCATTACCTGACAGCATGGTAAGACCTAGCTTCAAAATTTAGCTCTGCTTCTTCCTATGCAAACTTGTGCAAGTCACTGAATTTCACTGGGCTTCCACTTCCTCTATATCTTGCCATTGGACCCAGATGGCTCCAGAGGAGAAAGTGAGGCTGGTGACTTGGCACAACCCTGCCTCGCTTAAATTCAATTCACTAGCATGTCATGGCATCACTTCTCTGATGTCGGTCCTCTTCGAGAATGAAAGACAAACAACAACAAAAATAAAATCAATATTGTAATATTGTAAAACACTTGAGAACACTGTTTACTTTGATCAAACTTGATTCTAGAAAACTGAAGAATGCTGTCCTCCTCAAGACTGAAAGATGATGTTCAAATATACATTATGAGAAACATATTTTTGGATGTGTGGCAAGGTAGAAAGTGGTTTTGCTTGACTTTGCTCATATGATACAAGGGTTATTTCTTTTTATCTTTCTTTGTTGCTAGATGGAACAATGGGTAGAGTATTGGACCTGGAGTCAGGAAAACCTGATTTCAAATATAGCCTTGGACATTTATAAGCTATGTGACCCTGGGAAAGTCACAACCTCTGTCTGAATCAGTTTTCTCATCTGTAAAATGGGAATAATAGTAGAACCTATTCCTCAGGATTATTGTGAGGATCAAAGAATATAATATTTCTAAGTAACTTAGCAAACCTTAAAGCACTATATAAATGCTAATTATTTATTCTAAATCTCTATGTTTCTTCCTTTCTATTCTCTCTTTGGGGTGGTGGGGGGAGATCTAAGGGAGAAAATGCTTGATAATTGAGAAAATTATTTGAATAAATAGATTAGAGGTAGAGTAGATGTTTCTTAAGTTCTTTCACTTCTAAATATTATGGACCATCTTATAAGTTATAAGCCTCCTAGGTGAAAGAACATTTATTCCCTTCTTTCACAGAATTGTGGTGTTATTAAATATTGGATTATTTACTCACAGGAAGAAAGAAAACTGAAAAACAAAATATTTAGAAACTGTACACTTAAAACTAAGTCCAAAGTGAAATTAGATCATTTACACTGGGAGCATTCTACAAAAAAAGGGCAGTTGGCATAGTAAAATTGTTTCCCATAGTATTGTGTGCTACAAGCCCAGCCACTGTAGTCTGGGTTGGGGGAAAAAGGGGGATAAAAATTAGTAGCTAATATTTTCAATTTTTTTCTCAATAAAGTAAAGAAAAACCTTGAAGGCATTTAGTGACATCTCTGTGTTTAATGATACCTTATTTTTGCCTAGTTAATTAAGATTGATGTTAGTTTTCACAATCTGCTGAAGCAGAGACTTTCCCAGGGTCACATAGCTTATAAATGTCCAAGGTTATATTTGAACTCAGGTTTTCCTGACTCCAGGAATGTGGGACAAATTTATACTAAGTAACTTGAAATGGTATTTCATCCTTGTAATTTTAAAAGAAATTTAGATAAATGTCACCTGACAATTTTTTCTTGACCACTTCTTTCTTTCTACCCCTCAATACTGTCCTATTACATTTCTAGAAAGAGTAGTTTGTACTTGATGGTTCTATCTTCCCACTCTGACTCTGCTACAAACATAATCAATGACCTAATTGCTAAATGCAATGACATCTTAGTTCTTAATCTTCTTGACTGGTCTGCAGCGTTTGATACTGACCACTCCCTTTTCTTTAATGTTCTCTGTTTTACCGTCTTCCATGACACTTCCCTCCTCATTCCCCACCCCCAACCCCATCTTTCTGAAAGTCTGTGTTGGTCTCCTTTGTTCTTCCTCCTCTTGCCCCTTAAGCATAGCCATCCCCTAAGTCTTTGCCCTTGGATTTGTTCATTTCTTTGGTAAGCGGTAAATTTCCAGCTACTTCGGCTTCAATGATCACTTCTGAAGATAGACCATAAAGTCTCTGTGCACTTTCTGAGTAGGTGAGAAATGCAGAGATCATGTAATTCAACACTTAACCATGGAGTAATGTATATGAAGTAACATATGGGTGGTTATCCAACCTTGGGCAATTAAGTGGATAGAGTGCTAGGCCAGGAGTCAAGAAGACTCATCTTCCTGAGTTCAAACCTGGTGTCAGATACTTAGTAGCTGTGTGACCCTGGGCAAGTCACTTAACCCTGGTTGCCTCAGTTTCTTCATCTGTAAAATGAGTTGGAGAAGTAAATAGCAAACCATTCCAGTGTCTTTGCCAAGAAAACCTCAAATGGGGTCGTGGAATGTCAGACATGACTGAAACAACAACAACAACAGCATCTAACCTTTGCTTGAAAAAACCATCAGACTGGGGAGTTCCCTACCACTAAATGTACCACAATCCACTTTTGAATAACTCTAATTGTTGGGAAGTATTTCTTTATATTGAGCTGAAATCTTTGTAACTTGCATTCAATCTTAGTTTTGTCCTCGAGGGCTAACCAAAGTAAATCTAATTCCTTTTCCGCGTTCTTTATCTGACGGAGGTTATAAAACGAGACCATCACTACCAAAGTCTTATTAATGTGACTTAAGCTCCCATTAGTCACAGAATCATCATTTCAGAGTTATAAGAGATCTCAGTGGTCTTCTATTCCAACTCATACCTTAAAAAAATCATCCTATTTATAAACGCACCAGAGAAGTGTGTATCCAGCCTTTTCTTGAAGACCTCCTATGAGGTGCTCCCAAGGCAACCCTTTCCACAACTGGCTAGCTCTACTTCTTTAAGATATTTTTATTTCTATCAAGTCTAAGTTTGCTTTGCAACTTCTACCCATTATTTCTAGTTCAGCCCTCTAGAAAGCAAAACCCACATGTCACAGATTATATACATCACCTGTCATTCATTTTTATGTGACTGGCTAGCTTTTTTTTTTCCTTTTCCTTTTCCTCCACTAAAGTCCTCTGACACCTCATCTTGTAGGAAGCACCACGGTGTACTACAGAGGCTTCAAAAACACGGGCCCATAAAACTCTCCAGGGTTGCCGAGCCAGATTAAAATGTATGGGGGAGATATTTAACAAAATAAAATACAAAGTAGATACTATTAAATTTTGGTTTTCTAAGTCAATATGTGGCCCACAAGTCCTTGTGTATGGTTTAGTGGCCTCTTTCCACTAGAGTTTGACAGCACTGGTGTAGTAGAAGGAATATTGGCTCCAGTTTCCGATCCTGGCTCTACCACTTACCTCTTATGTGACCTTGGAAAAGCAACAGTAAACCTCTTGGCCCTCAGTTTTCTCATCTGTGAGATGAAGATGCTAGATTGACTCTGAGATCCCCCACCTATAGATCAATGAGGCTATGATCACCATGGCATGGCTGAAATCCCAGGTATCCAAATACCATGCCACTCGAAACATAAACTCCAGCTGGTCCTACCAAGTTGTAAAGCTTCAAATATTGACCTGGAAAGGATGTATATTTTTCATCCAGAGACCAGCCTAGATATATTTGGAGAAGCTCATCACCAGATTGGGCACAGAGTGAACAAATTTTTAGCCATGCCACCTGATAAAGACTCGTAGAGAAGTTTTCATGGATCCGGTCAAA